TGGGCCGACTGATTTATGCTGATAGAAGAGCAAATTTGACTGAAATAACCACTCGCTACAACCAAAGTATGCAGCAAATTTTGTGAAGCCACAACATGCACAACCTTGAGGTGGATGGGCTACAACAGCAGAAGACCCCACCGGGTACCACTCATCTCCACTACAAATAGGAAAAAGAGGCTACAATTTGCAAGAGCTCACAAAAATTGGACAACTGGAAAAATGTTGCCTGGTCTGATGAGTCTCGATTTCTGTTGAGACATTCAGATGGTAGAGTCAGAATTTGGCGTGAACAGAAAGAGAACATGGATCCATCATCCCTTGTTACCACTGTGCAGGCTGGTGGTGGTGGTGTAATGGTGTGGGGGAGGTTTTCTTGGCACACTTTAGGGCCTTTAGTGCAAATTGGGCATCGTTCAAATGCCACGGCCTACTTGAGCATTGTTTCTGACCATGTCCATCCCTTTATGACCACCATGTACCCATCCTCTGATGGCTACTTCCAGCAGGATAATGCACCATGTCACAAAGCTTGAATCATTTCAAATTGGTTTCTTGAACATGACAATGAGTTCACTGTACTAAAATGGCCCCCACAGTCACCAGATCTCAACCCAATAGAGCAACTTTAGGATGTGGTGGAACAGGAGGTTCATGCCAGTGACAGACAGGGACAAAGCCAATCATGGGGATGATAGGAGGCCACGATGGACGGGGCCAATTGGCAGATTTGCCCATGTTAAATCTCAGCTCTTTTTTCTGAAGGACACCCTGGAACTTTAATGACCACAGAGAGTGAGGTCCTCGGTTTAACATGCTCATCCGAGCTTTTTGATAGTATAGTGTCCCCATCACTACACTAGGGCGTTAGGACCCAGACACACCACAGGGTGAGCACCCCCTGCTCACCTCTTTCAGCAGAAACACTTTGAAAGCCTACGTGTTTGGCTGTACGTATACGCTTAGCGTACGTGTAAAAAACAAAGTATAATGATTTCCATTACACAAGAGTAGATGTTTTAACTTCACGTTGATTTGTACTCGGCTTTCGCCAAGATAAGCACAAACTAATACGTAGCTTTATAGTAACCTATGCTTCTCCATCCATTTATGCATTTAAATACAAAATTTCATTTAAATATCCATTTAAATATAAAAATTGAAACTACTGTGGAAACAAAGACACCTACATCTTGGATGCCCTTGAGGTAAGCTAAAACATACCAAAAATGAATTTCAAAGTGAACTATCCCTTTGACGGCTGCAGTGTACTTGGCGCGTCAGCACAAATGACGGCTGCAACTACAGTATGGTCTCCCCAGTGGACCAGCACAAGAACCGTCTGGATTGAGCCGAGTAGGGGACATCGCTAGGGTCTTCAAGTGGGCACCTTTCATCCTCAGTGTTTCGTCGACTAGCCCACGACCAGAGGTGGAAAGTAACTAATTACAAATACTTTCTTTATAGTAGAGTAGATTATTAGATTTTTTCTACTTTCTTGATCTATCTATCTATCTATCTATCTATCTATCTATGTCATATTCAATGATATTATTGGTCTTCTTCACATGGTCATCTTGTCACACAAACCTGTTATCAGGTGAGTGAGGGAATAATGTGATGACTCAACTGTGATATTAACATACAGTAGCCTTTGTTCACAGACATAAGTCAGTTCTTTAATGTGATGTGCAATTAAAAGCACACTTAACAGACTTAACAGACAGAAGTGTTCTTCCTTGTGTATAATTTTAACCATAGGACAGACAGAGCATATTTAAGTGTTCATTATTCACAGGGTCTTATCTCTCTACTGTGCACTCATTCAATTATTTAAGTGCTACACTGCATTTCATTGATCATTTATAGACCTCTGCTATGACGACATCGCCTGAGGACTAAAAGTTAAACCTTAACCGTAATTTTAAAAATTATGTTCATTATGGGGTTTAGGGAAGAAACATTTAAAGGGATATGAATTGTTAAATTTAAGTGCATTATATACACATTCCAATAATTTTTGCATTAAAAATGCTGTTGAATCTTAGGATAAATTCAAATTACCAGGAAGTTCAAAAATAAGTGTTATATAACCAGTTGTCAAAGCTATTGAAATTCTTTTGTTGGGGAGGGGGAGGGGGAGAGAGACAGGAAGAGAGAGAGCGAGAGAGAGGTAGAGATGTGTGGGGAAGGGACACTCACTAAAATTGCATTGGGGACAACATTAACAGCCTGCAGTGACATCCGACAGCTTTAGTAAAGGTGAAAATGCAGCGAGTAATGTCATTACGCATGAGTGGTTTGATACATTGTAATTTTCATTTAAAGGTACACTATGTAACTTTTTATGTTATTGTTAAAAAATTCACATCATTTATAAAATGAGTCAATATATTGTCAATCTTTCTTCCAATACGTTACTCTTACCCTGATTCACTAGTATGCACTCTAAAAAATGCAATTTGGGACAAATATGGACAAACCCCAACCATTGGTTTAAATTTGAAACAACCCAGCATTTTTAGAGTATGGTAAGCCTATTATAAGTGTTTATATTTTAGACCTGTCAGGATGTGTAACTCACCAGTGTCTCGTCATATACGCACGTGACGGTATGCGGTGACGTGATGACTTTACCAATTGGTGATTGGCTCTTATTTCGCCATATGGTGGGAAGAATCCCGGAAGTACAGATAGACAACAATTTCTTGGACTACTAACCTGAAGCTGCTGCCGTGATTTACACTATTAGATGTTAATATCCAATATAGGATATATACTGTATATATATATATATATATATATATATATAGTATGTATATAGTATAAAATATGTTTAAAATTATTTACAAGAAAGAAAGAAAGAAAGAAAGAAAGAAAGAAAGAAAGAAAGAAAGAAAGAAAGAAAGAAAGAAAGAAAGAAAGAAAGAAAGAAAGAAAGAAAGACCAATTCCATAGGAAAAGAGTTAGTTCATTAAAATATCACAAGTTCTGTTTAGTTTGAATGAATATTTTGAGCTGGTATGATGATATAATCAGAACATAAATCTGAGCATGCACACACTTTGTTTTCAGTCTGACTTTCTGTGTGTTTTTTGGTGACACAATGCTTAAAGCTCTGTTTCTTTTGGAATCCTTTTTTTTGTAAACTAACTGAGCTGGGCTGGTTACTCCATAACTGAACATGGTGCTCCTTTTGTGTCTTGTATCAGCCACCGTTTATCTCTCTTTTCATATTTATGTGAGCATAGGTCTATAGTCACATTGCTTCTCAAAGTACTGTTTCCTACAGTACGGCCTTGGAAGACTTCAGCATTCATTAATTTATGATCAACATACAACTCTTTTATAAGCTTCTAGTTCAGAGTTAAAGCAAGAAAACAAACACATTCACTGAAAAAAGTGTACTGGATTTAGGCTACATGATTTAATCGTACATCGGTTCCACATGAATCAATTAAGTTAAACAAACATAATTTGGTAAGAACTAAATAATGACTAAATTATAAGAATGTACTATAGCTTCCAAACTCATATAGCAAAAGCACATATTAACATTATAAATGCTAAGGATGAAATGCTTGTTGAGCTAAGCAGTAATAACATGTGCTCTATCAGCCCACAGCCAAATAATTCCCACATAACCTCTCCCACTTTTCTCATCTTGCAACACTTAAAATAACACTTTTAATATGTTTGGACTCTATAAAGCATGTTGGAAACTACAATTTCAACACAAATCATTTTCGGGTATTGACTGGTTCACATTAACCCTAAATAACACAATGTATTTTCCATGTAGATCGCAAATAACTTTTTTGAGTAAATTGATGGAGTAAATTGGACAATGTGTTTTTCCTGTTTTTGCAGTGTATAGCTATCTAAGATTAAGGAACCAAGAGACACAAAGAGCTGAATGAGAACTTAATTGGATAAATCATGCCAAAATGAAAATTCTGTCATCATTCACTCACTCACATTGTTCCAAACCTGCATGGCCACAGTGGAAAACATTTGAGAACAACAACTAATAGAGCCTAAGTTTCTTTGTATTGGAAAAAATGCTATATGTTCCACAGAAGATACTCAAAGTTTTGGAATGACATGAGGGTGAGTAAATTGTGAGTAAATGGGCAAACTATCCCTTTTAAATAGAAGGACTCTAATAGAAGGGTTATAGATTAATAATAGGCTAATAATAATAATACTTCCATCACAGTTTAATATTGTTGCTAGGCTGATTACTATAATGTAATGGACTTTTTTCTTAGCGGAAGCTGTAAAATAATAAATAGTTATGGAAGTAGGCTAAAGTTATTTTAACTTCAAATTTGTCATATCCAATAAGCATGTCACTACAGCAAAATCAACCTTTCTGGCTTATATACAAGGATTTGAATTTAATGAAACCCTATTAATATTATTTCTAATAACTTATTTAAGTGATGTATGCAATACTACACAATATGACACAAATAATATATCAACACAGCTGTTATGAAGAGCTTCTGCCTAACATGACTCTGAAAGCATTTTATGCCACACATTAGGCTAATACACAATAAGCATTGCACAATTTCTGTGTGACTGAATAACTGCTGCGACTAAATGAGCTCGAGAAATTATTGTGATAATAGCCTTCATTAATACCGACTCAAATAAGATAAACCAGTGAAGGGACACTGGGTTAAGGTAGTGAACCTCAGACGACTGGACTGACTGATCTGCATAGATTTCACAGCGTCTGGAATGTTATTGCGTACGTTGTTTTTGTTCAGCTGCTTAATGACAGCAGAAGTTTGTAAAGCGCTTGAGTTGTATTATATAACCTTCAGACGACGCCAATACAGTATAGTAACGTTATATTAAAATAACGTTACTCTCAAACATACACCGAGCTAAAATTATTCCCCATAACGTTAGTTTACAAGCGGCACTATTTGTATATTGTTGTCACGTCTCGCGATCCACTTTACTTTAGTAAATAAAAACAAACTTACCATGTCATATCAGCAGGAAATTCACGTACAGCAGAAAATAACTCAACATGACCATGCAGACCGAGCTCTCTGACATGAATCAAGTCACGTAGGTTTCACATTTACTGAGTTGTAGTCCTGATCAACTGATCGAGATCGAGGACTATCACAGACTTTTACTTCCTGGTTACAGATGTCTTGAGAAGGACACGCTGACGAGAAAACAAGAAAACATGTCATACGTTCTCGGTGTATTTTACTAATTTCCTGATTAGAGACCGGATCGGACTCGAGAGGGAAGGGAATTAGAAGAGAAAACAATCACGGGCGGGGCAAACGGATTTATACTGCTACATGTAATGGGGCTACTGGTTATGAAAATTAGTCACCAATATGGGGTGTCAGGACACGAAAGACAGGGACACTTGTTGGAAGGTTTAATGTATACTTTCCTAAAAGATGCACAGGCACTATTTCTAAATAAACTTTACTGGGTAGTTGTGGTTCTAAAGAAAAAGAAATAAACATTGATGTTAACTAACATAACACAATTGAGGCTAATACTCTCTCTAGTTTAATAAATAAACAGGGCTACATGTCCACATATAACAGAGAAAAAGGCTGTCACTGACTGTAAACTTAACATCAAATGCTAATATTAACTTATTAACTTATAATATGACATACTTGGTGATTAAGACAAATTACTTGTGGTCACTGATAGGCTACATATAGGCTAATTATGCTACTTCTACTAAGGCAGCGCTGTATTTTCCTCAATTATTCATATTTACTGTATTTGTTTACCTGATGGGGGCATTACATTACTGAACATTATAGTATAAAAAAATGCAAAATAAAAACAAGCTGGATTATAGCAACATTATTACACCTCATTATTACATATTAAACTGTAACCAATTAAAATATATTATTTTAATTAGTTCTAAGCAACATAAATAAACGGAGCAATTGCAATAGGGTCAAATCCATAGACCCATAAAACCACCCTAACCCTTAACAGGCTAACCCTATGACACAGTCATCCCAGCTGAACATTCTCAGAACTTTGGCTATCATTCAGGCAAGGTTCTCAAAGTTATGAACAAACATTATTCCATTCAAAATTCCTGTTTTGAAAGTTCAAAGTTCTTTGCTCTTTCATAGCTTTCTCAACAATAGCTCAAAAACATTAATTATACATTGGTCATATAGCCTAATAATTTCTCAGAAACGGTTTGTGTCCTATTGTTTAGAGAACAAGCTCAACCGAACCTGCTTTATGTGTGAGAATGGCCCAATTGAGGCATCCGATCAGCCTGGAAGATCTTTTACGTGTTACTGTCTTTCCATGTGGGAAAGTAGTCTTTTTCTGGTATTATCAAAGTTGTTGATTGATGCGGACCAGATCAACAACTATTTTTAACACATTTGTCTTAAGAAATGTGCAAGCCCGGCTGGAATTTCCGCCTATGTTGTTAGTCCCCCGCTGGTGAAAATCTATCTTTTAATGTTGTTTATGTGTACATGGTGTTTTTAATATGCTTTAAGACAAACCATGTATAAATTCATAAGTCAACACCATTGCTGAGTATTTCCTCCTTAAAACTGCAGTGAACCAAAGACAGTGAGTGAATGGAGACGGGGCTAATTTTCATATTCATAGCATCGTGTATACTAAATGAGGCAAGAGTATAGAGTTACATTCAAGCCATTTTAAGACATGAAGATTTTTTTCAAGGAATAAAACTTTTAAATATGTAATTTGGATAAAATGATTGACTCCAGCTTGGCTCCCTATATTGCATACATTTTGGGACATCGTGTTACAGTATGTTAAAAGCATTGCTAACAATTTAGATCCTCTGCATTTTGCCTATAGGCAAGGGAGGGGAACTGAGGATGCTATCAACAGCATCATACACTTGATTCTGAAACATTTAGAAACACAGAGCTAATCCAAGTTTACTTTTTATTGATTTTAACTCTGCTTATCACTATTCAACCTCACTTGTTAATTAAAAAGATGGATGGTCTATGCAGCAACATGCAGTCCACAACAAATTTTCCTTTCAAGGACAATAAAGTATTACCTCTAATTAATTTAACTAACTTCTACATAAGTGAAATCTGCGTGGGGGTATGTTCGACCTCACGCAACACTCATAAACACACAGAAATAACTGGATTCTGTAGCTATTTTAGTACATTGAAAATACAGATATTTCTTTTACGGAATAGGGATAATATGAGGATGATCTAGAATTCAAACAGGAGTCAAGACTGTATGAGCTTTTATCATGTAAATGCAAATGAGTTTAAGTTTGTATTTAACTGGTAATTAAGCTGTTTATGACTTCTATAAGGAACATAAGTTCTATAGATCCTCTGCTGGGCTAGAAACAGGGTATAATAGGTCTAATTAATCTCCCTAATCATACATCATTTCAAGAGAGACAGGCAATTTCTTAGACAGGATCTAATGGACATAATGGTCAGGAAAAAAAGCCAACCAGTCTATCAGTGCGTAACGCACATTCTGTAGGTCTTTATCTACCTGAATCTTTTTTTTTTCCATCAAGATGACAATGAACATCTAAAAGTCTATGCTGTACTACAGAGTACAGAGTAGTCTACATATTGTGATGTGTTCCATTATTAATGTAAAGCCATTTACTGAGCCAATTAAATGCTGGTTTTATTGTGTAACCATTAACTTGTGCATTTGGACTCTATGCTCAAAATATGACAAATGCAAACATTTACATGCATGTAGGACTGTTTTAATGGTTTGTAGTGCATGCCCTTGGACTTAGTCTGCATGTTTCCCATTCCCGTTGTGAGTGTCTGCTGTTGGATCACTGGTCAGATTGTTTTCTGTTTTCAGATTGAACAGCCTCCTCTACTTGGCTGAGTATGTCATTAAGGACTGCTGAAGAGGCTCTGTCTGAGGGCAATGGGGTCTGGGAGACCGCAGAAGATCCTAGACTGCTACTGATGATTGAACGAGCTGCTTGCAGATGCCTTCTTTGGCTCTGACGAACTAAAGGAAAATGAACAAAGTGTGCATTTTTAAAGTGGCTTTCAACTAGTGGGCGCAACCAGATTGGCTCTTATGTGTGTTCTGATAGTGGCAAGACAGGTAAACATCTAGTTAACATTTATAATTTATATTTGGCTAAAATATTGTAAGGATATGTAACAGAAATTAGTATAATATTATATTATATTAGTACTATTATAGGGTTAAATATAACAGGCATGGTGATTTGGCACAAAATCATCTGTGACTTGGTAGAGCTGCCAAATTAGACCGATGCCAACATGGAAAGGTTGTGTAACATTCCCTTTTCCTCAAACCATGAACAAAGGTTAAAGAAAATATGAAAATATTACTTAATTATCTGTGTGGGTTCACTTGTAACGAAAGCACGGTTTATACCACAAAGTACTTTTTGTGAGTTATATGGGAAAATAATAGTTTAATTATTTAAACAGATATTTCATAATTAATATTACACTTACTTTTATATTATATGTACTTTTGTACAAAAAAAAAACTGTTTTGTACTGTGTTGGGTTTCCACTTGATGTCCAATGAGTTCTAAACCCATACCACTGTTAGATCAGTATGTTAAGTTATAAAATCTTGAAATATTTCTGTAATATGGTTTCAAGTAAAAGTCAGGCTCATAATAGAGTGGGTGTGCCACTTCTGTGTTGCATTTTAACAGCACCATTTAACTTTTTTTTTTCCTTCCACAATTAATTAGAACACTTTCACGTTCCTTTCTGATTTGTGTAGCTTTTTTGTTGTTTATGGAGGTCACAACCCACTTTTACAGCATGAAAAGCGTAACATTCTTCTGCTTTTCATATGGGATTGAAGGGCATGACAGTAAAATAATTAGAGAAAGTTCATTTTTGGTGAGCTATCCCTTTATGCCAACAAATATTAATTATGTCTTATGTGTGCAGTTATGTGTGCAGGAAACAGTAATACAAAATCTTTTTTTTTTGTTCTCTGTATAAAGTCATGAGGTCAATGAATTTGTATGAAGGGTCTATTCTTCACAGAAGCAAACGATATGTAAATAGAAGTGGCAAATTAAAAACTAACCATGGGAAATTGCAAGGATAGTTGATTAAGTATTTAACACAGGCCACATGACACAACACTGATAACATGTCAAGTTCACAGGACACTAAAAAGTCAAGCTTAACAAATACTGGTCAGGTGACAATTTATGCATGAAAAAGATCTGTATGAGGCTTTTCAAATCTCTTTAAGACATTCATGGAGTTAATGCCAATAAACTGAAATGCTGTGTAGAACTACTTTGAGTTCATGCCTTTGTTCTCTACGTTTGTGGTCTGTAACCTCATTGGCCATGACTTCCAGCTTTTATGCCACATTTATATCTCAGCAATAACAAAAAGGACAATGTTCCAGAGTATACACATCCTCATGTCACTCGACTTCAAGCTGAAGTACTTTACAGACTTAAACTCAAGAGCAACACAAAAGATTTATTTTTACACCCCATTAAATTCCCCGTAATAAGCTTGAAAAATAGCATGAGTTGCCTTTTGGTACATTCTGTTCCTAAAATCCTTTTAATGCTTTCTTTAAATGGCACGAGGGGGAGAAGATAATAACATTGAGGACTAATTTGGCTTGGCCTGTAATAGTTTGGTATTTTACTGATTACCTGCCTGATTGAATAACTCACCTCTTTCTCTGACATCAATCTTCTGGACCTCAGGAATGAGGAATCTGTATACGAGTTCTGCCACAATCTCTTCTGACTGCTGCCTACTCCTCCTGCACGTATACACAGACCAAGAATGACACAACACAGGCCAATTAGAGTAACACAGTCTCATCCCAAAAAGTCATATAACTGACGTTTTGGGACGTATTTTGACCATACGTCAATATCCGCCTTTTTAGGGCCCCCTAAACGTCGGTAGATGGCGATCCCGGGCCGTCATACAACTGACGCTTTACCTTTAACGTCAGTTAGGTGACGGGTTAGGTTTAGGGTTAAGTTTAGGTATGGGGTAGAGTTAGGATCCCATAACCTCATCTACCGACGTTTAAGGGGGCCCTAAAAAGGCGAATATTGACGTATGGTCAAAAGACGTCCCAAAACGTCAGTTATATGATGATTTGGGATGAGACCGGGTTGATTAGAGCTAATTCATTTGGTTTGTGACAAAGAAAATTCTTTAAAACAATCAATGCTGGCAATCTCACCGAAGGAAACACAACAATGATCTCGGTAACTTGGTTATTCAATGTTTATTAGTTTATTTGTATCACAGTATCTGATTCTAGTGATTTCCCACAGCTGTGCTGTCACATCTGACATCCATCATTTATTATTTATTGAGGGAAGAAATATGTTGACAGAGATGTTTTTCATACATATTTCATTTCTGTCCAATATCAGGACTATCAGGACCACTATCGTCAAATAAGATTGACAACGGATTGGCGGTATGGTTCCGTTCTGGGCGAGATATCCCTGTGACTAGCATGGATAAGAGCAGCAATCAACATGAATGTATTGCAGATATCATTAATTCAAGATTTTAAAGTACAACATAATTTGAGAATTTATTCTGATTCAAGGGGAATCTGAATGCCAAATGCTGATTGGGCGAGAGGAGCTGGGGATGGAGGAGGTTAATTAGCTCTTGAGAAACGCGACAGCTGCTGATAATACTAAAGGAGCATATGTATACAGTGATAGGCATCGTATTTCTATACAGTAGGTAGACTTGGATCAGCTGAGAGTCAGCTGGTGCCAGCTTGACTAACGTGACCTGCCAGAACTGACGCTATGCTTGTAGTTCTTGGGCTGTAACTGTGTTTCTCTGAATTTTGCCTTGAAGGATAAGAAAGTTTTTGAACAGGCTGAACACAATGGGTGGAAGTCACCCTGCTGACAAATCTAAGCATGGCGTTGTATATTTTATTTACGGGACCAGCAGAAGTGAGTCATTTGTATACCCTAGTGTATGCATTATTTTATCAATATCTTATAGCTTCTGTCTTAACTAAACACTTAAAGACAGTATGAATGGAGAGATCGTAAAATAGAACAAAATGTTTGGGTCTATTCTCAAGTGATTCATCCTTGGCAGCTCAGCAATGATCTTGAATCTAATAAAACCTTTGATGTATGCAAGTGTCAGTGACAAACATGTCTTACAGACTTGAATGTCAGAATTTCAATACTGAAATCTAAAGGTGCATTTATTTATTTTATCCCTTTTCTTCTGTGCAGTGAAGTGTTCTGTTTTGACAGTTTGAAAGATGTTTACCGTTCTGAAAAGACCAGCATAATTATAAGAGTTTGTGGTACTTTGTCATCAATAAGCAATTTAGTTGTGAGATTTTCAAACAGGTTAAATTGGATGTCACAGCATTCGAGAGAAACGTACGTCTCCTCCATGGCATAGGTGATGTTGTTCAGCTCCTCAGCCTGACGGTGTATCTCCTCTCTGGCCAGGGCATCAGCTGTCTGGTTAATGGAGCCCAGGATGACATCCTCCAGGTATATGTCTACTGTGTCCTGGTGCACCTTGACCACCTGATACCAAAAGATATACAGATATACAAGTGATTTCTGATCGCTGCCGCTTGCAGTGCAAGATGAAAATGTGCACAATATGACTAAGACACACATTAAAAATACATAAGGTGAAATATGATTCCATTTTGACAATAGTGGAGAACTCTGTGAAAAAAAATACACAAACACACAATACCTTTCAAAAGTTTGAGGTTGATCAGTCTCTCATAAAGGCTCCATTTATTTGATCAAGATCAAAGATAACATGTTAGAAGTTCCTTAATTCGTGAAACATGCTAGCAACATCTTGAAACATTTTTAAAACATGCTAACAATGTGCTAATTGATGTTAGAAACACGCTAACATTCGCATGCTAGCAATGTGTTAAATCATGTTAGAAAAAGCTAACAATAATGCTAAATCATGCTAGCAACATGTTAAAACATGCTTGCATTATGTTAAATCATGCTAGCAACAAATGGTAAAACATGGTAGCAATGTGTTCATGAAACATGCTTGCAATGCTAAAACATGTTAGCAGTTTGCTAATTCATGCTAGAATGTGTATTGATATATTTCTATCGATCTATCCATAAATCATCACTTGTATTTAATTATGTGACTATTGTGCTTTGTGACATTTTGAAAAGCCGTGCATGAACAGCACAGTGTCATCGCTCATCACACAAGCAGGAGCTAACAGTGAAAGTCTATTTCTGATTTTTATAGTTGTTTAAACGTTGTTTAAATATATATATATATATATATATATATATATATATATATATATATATATATATAAAAATAAAAATTATATATATATATTATTTTAGATATTTTATGTGGTCTATCTTTTTTTTCTGACTGAAGATTGAAGGTTTTTCTTGACAAACTATTTTATTCCAATGATGCAAAGCTGAATTTTCAGCACCATTTCAGAACCAACTCCATCTTCAGTGTCACATGATACTTAAGAAATTGTTCTAATATGTTGACTTGTTGCCTAATAATTTCCTATTATTATCGATGTTGAAAACAGTTGTGCTGCTTGATATTTTTTTGGTGCCAACGATGACAGATTTCTTTTTAAGGTATATTTGACGAATGGAAAGTTCAAAAGAACAGCATTTAGCCTGCTTGAAAAAGAAGATTTTGTAATATTTTTTACTGACACGTTGTGTCCTTGCTGCATAAAAAGTATTAATTTATTTCAAAAACCCCAACCCATACTTTGAACAGTAGTGTATGTTCAAAGGATTTTGTCGGGGTAGAAATCAGAGCACATTTATCGTCCACTAACACTGATGTTCTAGTGACCTGTTTAAATATCTCATCCTCCTCTCTGCGTCTCCTCTCCTCTATCTGCCGCCTTCCACTCTCCTCAGCCTCACGAATACGCCGATCTCTCTCAGCCAATAGCGTAAAGGCGTGGATTCGTCTTTCCTCCTGCAGCCGGACCAACTCCTTAGACAAAAAGTCCAGCATGTCCACAATCACTCCCCCAGACAGGCCATCTAGACAGGACTCAATCTGAGACACCTGAGAGAAAGACAGTGTTGGGAGAAGGAATAAGAAGAATCTAATCAGTTTCATAATTGAGTTACTATAGCTTATTATATTCAATTCTTGCATCGTTTTGTTCACAGTGATTGTTTTTGTTAGACCGTGAAACAAATTACGTAAAGGCTCAAACATATTTTTAAAAATATTTTTTTTTGTCCTGAGATTACACTGTTTACATTTGTTACAGTATATAATTTAAAGCTGCAGTTTTCCCTCTTTGTCGCCATCTCTGTTGGAAATCTGCAATTGTAATTATTCGCGGAATTATCAACTTTACGTGGGTTGTGCCTCGACACGACACACTTCATGACATGACTCTTGAGAAGCCATAAAAGTCTGAAAAGATCAGTGGGATTTGTTAAAGGAGATGTAATGTTGTGAATGTCTCAAGAGTCATATTTTGATTGTACTGAGATATATAGTTTTAACTGTCAAAGTTCTTATGGCACAGTAGGTGCTTCTTGTCATATCTGAAGCAGTTTTATCTCGGGTCTTACTCTGTCAGACTGGATGTCTCTCTGTTTCTGCAAGGCGAGTGTGACCTGTTTTTCCGCCTCCTTCTTGTCCTGTTCCTCCTTCTGCAGTGCGTGGGTGGTACGCAGTTCTTGGATCAGTTCCAATCGTTTCATTTTTTCTTCGAACATCTGACACGCAACAGACATCATTATCCATTCACATCAACAACTACACAAGACATCTGTTAAAAAAAACATGCTCCCCCACTGAGCCATACCTGATTCTGGGTGGATCTTCCTCTGAGCACTTTCTGCAGAAAGATGATAGCCAGTTCCTTTTCCTCATCTCCCTGTTATAGATATTGATATCTCAGAATTATAAATTAAACATACACACAGAATAACATAATAAATGATACAAAGAGAGTCAAAGTCCCAGATACACTACAGTTCAAAAGTATGGGTCCAGTAAGATTTTTTTTTAATGATTTTGAAAGAAGTCTCTTATGCTCACCAATGCTGCATTTATTATTTATTTATTAAATAATACAGTAAAAACTGCAATATTATGAAATATGATTACATTTTAAATTAGTTGATTTCTATTTAATATATTAAAATGTCATTTATGGCTGTGATAGTAAATCTTAAGCTTCAGCATTATTACTCCAGTCTTCAGTGTCTGTTTATAAAAGCTCAATAACTGTCCAAAATTGAACTAAGGCATAATCCCAGTTCAATCTAAGCCCTGTCTGTGAAACCAGACCGCTTGCATAAACTGCTAAGACTAATCTTACAAGTCAATCAATATTTTTTCTTTACTGTTCATGCCTTTTTTAAGTCAGGTCCATAAAATCTTAGATTGGTCTAAATTGATACCCAAAAGTAAGACAGATTACCCCTAACTAACTTCTAGTCTTAACACAATGCCTGTGTTTATGCAACTGGCCCCTGGCCATAAAAATGTCAATTTAATACCAATAACTACAGTTAACATTCTAATCAAGTACTTTAGTATGTTAGCCTAGTCAACAAATCTAAATAAGTAGTCTATAGATTATTAAAACCTCATAAAATTCACTAGAGTAAAACTTTTAATTTGACATTATCATAAAAACGAAAACATTTCTTTGGAAATGTAGGTGAAAAATCACATAGGTGTGCTTATACCTATAAAGCTATCCAAACCGCCCGTATTCAGACATGTTTTGACTTGCAAATTGCACGTCAGAAGGAAGAGCTGCATGAGCGTGGGCTGTACCTCAGGGGGCTCATCCACCGCAGGGGTCAGGGGTCGTGGAGCAGGTTTTTCCTTCTTAGAGAGAAACCGCAGAGGTTTCTTTTCCACCCTGCAGACCTTTTTCTCTTTCAGAGCCTAGTGGGAAAGGAGAGCTCAGGGTGATATCTGCCACTTCATTTTCTCCTCCCACAGTATAGTGTGAAAAGCACCCAGCATTACCTGATGAGTCTTCATGAGCTCTAGATCTCTGCGGGCTGAGCGTGTGATGAAGCCTTTAGTCACTTTAGGTTTTGGCACTTTAATGTGAGGCTCGATGACAGATGGAGAAAGACCTGCCTCCAGTTCTAACAGACCTAAGAAACACAGAGATGATACTGCAGGCCTTTAACACTTGTTTTAAACGAGATGAAAACGATAATTTTTTTTGGGGAAAAAGACAGCGTGCTGTGTGTGACAAGATCTAACCCATCAAGTCACATATTTTTCATCCACCAGGTGAACACTGTTAGCTTATAAATCATTGTAATTGCTTAGAAAAGTCGTAGCACATCTTTCATCAATAGGACACATGATTTGATTTGGAAGAAGAACATTTTAAATTAATTGAGTGTGTCCTGAATAGTCATGCGAGCAGAAGCAGACCTTGATACGTGCTGAGAAAGGAACTCTTCACCACGTTGCGGTTGGAAATCCGAGACAGAGGAGCGTATGTCTGAGACCCATAATCTGAATAATCCTTTATAATATCACGTCTCTCCAGCTTTCCCTCCACATTCTTGCGCTTTGCCAGAAGCTTCCGCATTGCTGTGAGAAACAGGAGACGTTAGGTCAAGTTTTCAAATGTATATTATATAAATCAGGGTATTTAAACCCACAAATGTCTTGTCAGCTTTCAATACATGCTACGCATTATTTTGTTTTCAATAAGTGATAATAATAATAATAATAATAAAATAATTATCAACAGAATAAAAATTAAAACAGTTATCCCCATTCAAAATGAATACAACAATAATTATTTTGTTAATAATAATGTTATTATTATTATAATGTTATTATTATTATTCATAGAGATTTTAAATTATTTTATTAGATTTTTAAATTAAATATTAGTATTAGAATATTAGATTTTTAAATACACTTCCACACACACACACACACACACACACACACACACACACACACACACACACACACACACACACACACACACACACACACACACACACACATATATATATATATATATATATATATATATACTAAATAGGCAAATACACAGAGTCTACGATTGGATCATTATTGCAGTGATTATTGTTTCATGCTATATGTTTGTATATACACATTCCAATTGATGGAGTGTGTAGCTTTTAATTTCTTAAACATCCATGTAGGAAGACACATCATGGCCACATTGCAGGATGACAATGTCAAGATTCATCAGGCTCAAACTGTGAGAGAATGGTTGGAAGAGAGCATGAAGAGTCATTTTCACACATGAATCGACACCTCTGAGTCCACCTGGTCTTGAGGTTTATTTTTTTTGTATGTTTATATATTTTCGCAAAATGGTCTCTTCAGTCGAAATTCGGCACAACACCTGTGCACGCAGTACAGGTGCATACCGGCCCACTTCAAGCAGTGTTAAGAGGTGCATCAATTTTTGGTCAAAATCTATACTTACAATGCAAGAGTTAAGAGACAATTTAAGGTCTGGACTCAAAGGTGCCAATTCATGTGTGAAAATGACTCTTGATGCCCCCTCCCAATCATTCTTTCACAGTTTGAGCCTGATGAATCTTGACATTGTCATCCTGGAATATGGCCATGATGTGTCTTTCAACATTTGTTTAAGAAATTAAAAGCTATATACTTCATCAATTCGGGTTAGAAGAACTATTGCTGAACATATAACGTGCTAGAAACGTGCTAATATAATAACTGTAATAATAACGTAGTAATAATAACTGCAATAATGATCCAGTCATAAACTCTTTAGTATTTACCTATTTAAATCCTATTTAAATTTTTTTTGGCCGGGCAGTGTATATTGCTAATGCAATAATACTATTGCACATTCATACTACTAATAATAATTTAATTTTACAGAACAACAGTCAAATTACAATAAAAATATCTATAGCTGTCTTCTTTGCTTTGAAACGTTCACTTATATTTGAGAGCTTATATTTGGGAGGAAAACTTTTGTTGTCAACATATTTACAAAAGATTCTCGCCACAAATTTGGGAATTGCATTTTTCAATGCACGCCTGAGACTGAAAACACTGGATCATGAACTACTTGCGTATAAATGAACAGCATAATGCCACACTCACTCAAAACACACAGCACACCAGACCATATATTTACATTATAAAATACATGCATTAAATATTTGAAAAATCACATCCCTGTAATATATAAATAGCGTATAGTCTCAAAGCAAACACGCATGGTCTAAAAGCAACAAAACTTCCATTCAGATTTCACGAGGACTGATGTAAAATGTTTTTAAGTACTACATATAATGATGATGATTTATCTAACTGTGGCCTCACAAATGGTGTAGTCTTTGTGTATCTTCTTAAGCCGCGCCTCCTTCTCTTGCTGGAGCTTGGAAAAGCTCATGTCCAGTCGCTCCATCTTGACCTCCTCTTGCTTCTCCTCCCTCTGACGCAAGAGCTGCACCAGCAGGGTCAGTCGTGCCTCCTGCAGCCTAATAAAACACAAGTAAAACAAAAAAAAGTGTGTATGTGTTTGTGCATCGCAGAAGTACAGATACAGACCATAATACAAAAGGAGATGTTTTGAAAAATTTTTCAGGGATTTTTGTCCATACAACAAAATTCAATATGGTACTTATATGGATCTTGCTTTTTATGAAACTTATATGGTACTATTTTGTACAATGACAAACCCAGTCCCTATCCACTGTTATTATATGGAAGAGAGAGGCCAGGATATATATATATATTTTTTTTTAAAAAAAAATCGCATTTACACTTTGATTAAAAGATGACAGCATTTTCTTTTCTTTCTTTTTTTTTTTTTTTAGCAAACTGTAACTTCAGGTAGTGCTCACTTCTCAATCTCCTCTTCTCTGAAGGCCCACTCTTTCCTCTCCATCTCCTCCATCATCCTTCTTCTTTTGTCAATCTGAGAGAGGTCGTCCAGCGGGGGCAGAGTTGCCTCCCATGCTCTCTTCATTCTTGCCCTCTCGATCATCTCCACTTCTGCCAGCCCTGCAGGCAGCCCACAGCCTGGAAAACAACCATTGATAAGGCCATCCACACCGTATAAATATAAATATACTGTAACAATATTAGAAAACATGCCAATGGACACTAATGTTCTGTTCATTAAAAGCTTGCACTGCAGCTTTGTTGTCTGCTGCTTTAAAGTAGTAACGGAAATTGTGATAGTTGTTAACCTTCAGTATATTATATTACTTTATATTATATTATATTTTCTTCCCTATTGTGACATATATCCAAGTGAAACGGCGTCTCGAACCAGAATTTTCTTTATTGGGAATTGATTGGATCATTGGATGGTTGTGTTTTACTGTTGCTGTGATGTCATGTGATTAACAGGTTGTCCCGCCCTAGTGCTGGGAAAAAGTTATTTTGATTAAAGGTTAGAGAATGTGAATAAAAAAAAAAAAACTGTAAAAACTGTCAAATTCCTTTAAAAAGCAAAATTAGAATTAGAATTAGAAGCTCAAGCTCTTTAAACTTGGGTGGATTCTGATTAATAATTTTATCATTCATCACGTGGAAAAATGTTCTGAAAGTGATTCCAATGACATTGTTATTCTGTGTTGTTATCATTATAGTTGTGGTGTGGACTTCCCTATTCTTATGGAATTAGAATGATTTTAAAAACTTTATAGTTATAGTTATGGTTAAAGTAATAGTTATAGTTTTTGGTATGAACAGAAATTCTGTAAGTCAACATCTCATTGTCAACCTGAACAGGAGCTAGTGAGAGGCAGTATAAAATAAACACGACTGTATTATATTTATGTGGTTTACCCCATGTGAGTGTGGCCAGTGTGAGCAGCTCAGGGGAGGCTGTCCCGGGGCGAACCACATAGTCTGGAGAGTAGGGGTCTGTCTGTGTCTCACTCTCCCGATAGTCTGTCTGAACTCCCACGCTCCGGTGGAACGGAGTGGGCGGCCGTTTATCTCCATTAGGATCAGAAAGGAGGTCAGATCTGTGAGAAAATTAGACAGATTCATAGAAGATAAAGTCAAGTATTTGATAGATCATAGACTACAATAACTCTACTGACAGATCAAGACTGAAGTGACAAGCACCTCATGACTTACTTTGGTAAAGCAAATACAACATCAGAAGGAATCTGTTGGGCAAAAGGAATGAGAGGACTGAGAGAAAGACAATGGGAGAAAAAGGGAGAAGAAAACAGGATTTTAGTATTTTTAAATAACTGATTAAATAATTCTAGCTAAATCAAAATGTTTAGCCGGTGTCACCCACACTCATTTTTCTGCATATGTGTGTGTCTTACCGTTTAAAAAACTTCCAGCGGTCCACTCCTGTCACATCAGCAGGGTTCAGTCTATGGATATCAACCCCAGACATGACCCTTACACAGACACAAAACTATAAAGATTAATTCAAATGCAATTACAGTTCACTGATTCAGTGAACCGGTAAATCAGTCTTGATTTTGTTTTTGGTTCTTCTAGAATATTTTGTTCATGGCTTATTTTGAAAAACAAAAACATTCATTTTCATATATTTTTTATTGCTGCAGCACCTCTCTTCCCAGTCTGTCAGTAACACTCTTTTTAGTTTGTTCAGCTGGACCAGTGTGTTGTGTTTGGTCAACCGTTTTGAGTGTGTTTTGGAAATGTCATGCCTTTGACCATAACAGTGAGTTTTAAGCACTCAACCAGGTCTCATCATCACTTTTTACAGCAATACTGAATCAATACTGCAATACTGTATCTCAAATAAATACATAAACAAACAAAAACAAACAAACAGCCAAATCATTTAGTGGAGAATTTGTGAGGGAAATGTGCTTAAAAATGCAAAATGTCATAATGCAAAAAGGCTGGTAATAAAACCAGGCTGTTTTCTTCAATCAAAATGTATTCACTGATTTTGTGTGCTTCACCGATCTATTATATTTGTAAAGTAGGCTACTATTGTCTTGATATGGTGTTCAGGTATGTGTTACCCTGTCAGTCGCTGCAGGGCCTGCCTCCTCTGCTCAGCGAAGCCCCGCCAACGCCGGTCAATGAACGCAGGCACGGGGTCAGTGGATTCCAGGCGTAAGGTGTAACGGGGGTGGTGTGCAAGGTTACTAAACATGCAGTTAAACTCTGGGACCTTCCGCTAATAGAAACAAAGCACAATTGTTTGTACTCTTAAAAGGACATATCATATTCATAGGTCATATAATATATATTTTTTGCACAAGACCAGACATAATAGAGTGTTTTATGACCATGTTGCACTGTTTCTCTGACTGTTAGAATGAAATAGGCTGTCACAGCCTAACTTAATGTAAAACTTAACTTTCACACAAAACTTAATGTATTTGATGCCATATCAAAACTATAAAGAGAAAAAAAATGTGTCAAAATTCAGAACTTTTTGGAAGATATCAGTGAAGATTTGTTTAGTAAAAGTGAATTTCTTAAGTTAATTCTCAAACTTTTGGCATAAATAATATACATTACGGAAAAGTAAAGTGTAAAAGCATACACTGTATTAATGAAACAAGACAACATTTGTGCCAGACGTCTGAAATTCATTTGAAATTCAAAAGAAATACTCCGTCTGAACTCTGAACACTAGATTTACACAAACATAGAAAGTCAAAAAGCGTTTGGTTGCGCCCCACTCTCCCCTATTTAGAATGAAGCAGAAATAAATGTTTATTTCAGATTTTCTAAATAACTGAATTATATCACTCATTGTCAATGACTCACTGGAACTAGAGTTTATCTTGTTATCTCTTTGCATTCATGTGTGCCATTAATATCACATCAAGTTTAAGGTGTTCCCTAATCAATGCTTACAATCCTGAGAATACAGAGGATTTTACACAGAGCATGAGAAAAAGAGACCAGAGACAAAGAGTCGTATAGGAATTTGTGGCCAGACTTCCCTACACAAGATAGATAATTCATAATGCAATAATGACTGGCTATACTTTATCCTGAATGATTAATACAAGACATGAATAAAAAAGTATTTCAAATAAGTACATAAATGAACCTGGAATATTGATTTGAGTGTGTGAGAAAAAAGAGACAAAACTAGCACATTGTAGAAATTGTCTTCCAAGGACAAATGCAGCCTGTGTCATGGCCATTATATTTAATTATATGACCACATAATGCTGCGATTTTCCAGACTCAAGTGTTCCAGAGAGACCTTTAATAAACCAAAACCACTTAAGTGTCAGCAGGGTTTTCCATTGTTTATTTCAATAACCTAAAGCAATTTAGCAGTTCAGACTCGCAGCATTTTACCCTTTTGACAACCTAACAGTGTTTTTCTCTCTTTCAACCAGAGTGAGTATTTAAATACAACAATTTATCCTGTTCTATAGGCCTATTCATCCTACAACAAATTATATAGCTGTGAATTGCGTCCTAAAGTTTCATAAGAAAAACCCTTCTAAAAAAGAATTGTGCTTAATTCTATTGAATATGCACTTGCAGTGTACTTAAAATCACAAACACACACACACACACACACACACACACACATATATATACAGTAGCCTACAGTGTGTGTGTATATATATAGGCTATATATATATATATATATATATATATATATTATATATATATACACTGTATATACTGTATATACACACACATAGTTTAACTATATGGTGTTTTTCAATAACTTATATTTTAAATGTAACCTACTGAATGAATTGCCGTTTCATTACAAATGTAAGATAGTTTTAAATACAAGATATATTTCAAGTTTCAAAAGAATTAGCATTTGAGTATGTTTTAGTTCACAATATCAGAACATTCGAAAGAACTTTATTTAAAAAAACAGAAATAATTATGAAATTAGTCTCCGGTCTCCAGTGTTTTCTACTCAAGCACAAAATCGAACATGACTGCAGTGCAAGGCTTCACAATCCTTACCACTCGATCCAGTGAAGCCTGAGCACGGAGGTTTTCTCTGGCGTGATCCACATCAGCTGACACTGTATATAATGGATCTAAAAACAGAACCATCACCCACAATTTAATATTTTCTATGATAAACGGCGCAATATATGCTCCTTTTCATAGCCTAATATCATTTATTCCAAAATACATTTATATGGTAAAAGTCAAATAGGCCCTAATGATTTGAACTGTAACTCACCGTACAAATAATCATATGTCCTCTGTTGTCTGAAAACCCTTCTGCCCTCATTTTTCTTCTGAAATGTGCGTGTGACCGAGACGCTCATGTTTGCTTATAACTGGTAAGTTAACGTTAGCTATGTGTTTTATTTGTAAGACAGGTAACAGTTAATGGTCACCATGGAGATCGTAAACATCCGTTCATGGCACTGCCGCTACACCACCCCTAGAGGGCAGTCAATACAAACCCAACATCCGCATGTCAGAACTGTAATGTAAAATGTTATTTTTTCCCGGTCTGATGAATGCGAACTCATCTTTATTCATTCGTAGATGTATATAGAAGCTTTATATAGACAAGTGGTTTAGACATAGACTATTGGAGGCCAACAACTACTAGGCTATATGCACTTGCAGAGATACAGAAAGGTAAACAGAAAATCTCACTGTGCTTTAATGAATGGTATTCGGTGCCTTTTGATCATGCCCCAGTAAATATCTTGATCTTATTGCCTTAAAATATTAAACAATAGTACTACTCCAACCTTAGTACTAGTTTGTAGCCTAAAAGAAAAAAAAAATCCTAAACCCTCGAAATAGTCATCAAAGAGGAGAATCTTCCATCATCATTCATCCAGTCATCAATCCAAAACAGTAATGTCTAAGAATTTTTACCAAAATGTACCCAACAAAAGTTACAATTTCTCCAAATTGATATGAATATTAAGGTTAGAGCAGATGTTTTAATATTTTATTTTATTTATTTTTTTTACATTTAGACGCACGTCACACATAGAAGGCCTTGGGACTGAGAAAACATACTGGGGTGCAGGGTCCACCTCTTAAGTAAGAAATCAAAATTGACCATATTTACTTAACAGACTCTATGCAGAACACTGCTGACGTATTTCTGGTAGAATCTCAGCCAGCATCTTTACTTCCGCATAGAGCGTTCTATAGCGAAGAGGTGTTTACTAGCGGCAAAACTTGTATTTATAATTTAAGTAGGCCTATTATATATAGTATTATATATTTAAATATAATATTAGGGAGGTTTGCAATGTGCGTGGACAGAGCTCGGCTGAACACCTTGCTGAAAGGATATACAAGAACAACTTCTCTGTGACAGTGTTACAGGACGAGAGTCCTTTAATACAATCTGCGAAGATAATACAATTGTTAATGTTATTTCTAAATGATTTAAAACACTTATGAACCCATTTACTGGCCATGCTTGTCTTTGTATAGATGTAGAACCCACAAACAAGATTTAGAGATCAACTGTCTTTTATATCCTCCTACTCTTAATCTAGCTATGGGACGCCTCTGACTTCCTCATCGACCTGAAACAATTCTAACCCCATGATACATCAGTCTAAAAAACAGAGCTTGCAATGCCTGATGCTTGTCAACAGAGACTGCCAAAAACACAGTGAATCAATATTTTGCTAATTCTACTATCTAAAAATGGCTTTCTTTTACTTTTGTAGCCTATAAACACTTTGTGTATCATTTTGTTTAGTAAAGTCTTGACATTCTCTAAAATTCTGAACTAACTATTTTGATTGCTCTTTTTGAGTGGACTTTTTGCATTGGTTTATGCTTTTGGATTTGGTTGACCCTGCCTGCCTTTCCATGGTATCTTGATTTAGTATTTTTGTCAATGGGATTGTTAAATTTTCTGCTTGTGAATCATATATCATACTGTCTGAATCATACTAAATTTGCCAACACACACACACACACACTATGCAGTACCAGCACTTCATAGTTTAATCTTTAGCTTACCTAGTTGCATAGTCTACCGGCACTTCTCACACTGCTGGTACATTGCCACTCAGAGTCGAAGTGTCAGTTCAAGCAAGCAGGGACTACGCTAGCAGGACGAACATTCATACTAGGGATGCACCAATGTCACTTTTTCCAGAAAGAGTCCGATACGATACTTTCATTTTTGGTACTTGCCGATACCGATACCGTATAATCGATACCTGTATTTTCACTGCATTTGTAACTTTTAAATGTATTGGTAGAGAAACCAAAAGAATATAAATCAATATAAACTGATATCCTTCAGTTATTTTCATTTTCATGAGCCTATTTCCAAAAAAATGTAGTATCCCTTTAAGCCTGCTAAAATGCTGCTATGTGTGTCAATGATAAATATGATCCAATTTCATAAGATTCACTGGTGTGAGAACAGTAAACCTGTGGCTGGTTTTCTTTTCTTTTTTTTTTTACAGCATGTGGTTGGGTTTGCCTAGCCTGCAACTGCTTCCATCCTTTGCTGGCAGAGAACTGAGAACTCTTTGTCTGTTCTCAAGATAGAGTTAAGAGAGGTCGTGAGATACACGATCACACGTTCACACAACCGAAAGTATCTCAAGCTCCTACACTGCATTTTGTCACAGATGATCTGATTTGCCGTAAGTGACAGTCTTTGCAGTAACAGTGGATTGTTTGTTTGTGGCTTGTGCTCTTAACTTTAACACATTGCACACATTAAATATATGTTTGTGTTGGTGTGTGTTTAGAGAGAGAGAGAGAGAGAGAGAGAGAGAGAGAGAAACATGATAAAAACTCTTTATATTAAACATAATAAAAGTTATGTTTTAAAAGTCATATATTTCAATATAAGCTTAATAGGCCCCTGAAATCAAATTGAAGCTTTTAGTATGAATATGTTAGCCTTGAGGTTATGAATAAGCTTGTATATTTCAAAACAATGACAAAATTCGCATTTAAGAGATAAAGCATTCAAAACTTACAGTCTCTCACTTCCGCTAAAATGGGTCACGGATTTTTATGACATCACTGCGGACTTCAGCTTCTCATCGCATCTTCTTTCTTAATCAAACGCTCTCTAGAATCAAAAGCACCCCGCCCCTATGTTATAAATACCACCTGACAAAAGCGAGTTTTCATGGAGCAATATGGGTTGGAGATGTGTGTTCGGTTGCTCAAACGCTTGAGTTTTATTCTGTTTTCCAACAGTAGATTGGTTAAGAATGAAATGGCTAGAATTTTTCCACACTTCTACTATTGAATCCAACGTATCTCCAGCACTCGGATTCGCTTCCAGGGTGCTGTCAAGTACGACTTGCAGTCTGTGAGATAAACTAATCGCTATAGGCTATTTGTCAAGGGTGAGGAGCCATCCGATGTGCCCCGACCTTAGCTTCCTGTTTCAGTGGAAATTACGTCAACACATCATACAAAGCTGCGTGTTCCAAGGCACTTCAGTAGGCCTTTAAACGTTTCTCATCAAATTCTTCCTGGACCAAATGTTCTGAGCTGCTAATTTTAGTACCTATGTCAATTTACTATTCATTACAAAACTAAGTTGATACTTAAATAAATATGTACTATTAAAACAGCTGAGCAATATAGTTTCCTCTGGCCCACTTTAGTACAGGTAATTTCTCGGAAGATTCCTAGACTGTGCAAATGAGAGTTTCTACAACTGATATATGTGTCAGGTTTTATCTTGAAACAGGAGTAGAAAGGGAGTACAACTTGCCCTTAGACGTACCTGGCAGTAGATCTGTTGCACAGTCATAGGGACGATGCAGAGGAAGAGAAGCAGCACGGGACTTACTGAACACTTCCTTCAGGTTTAGATACTCCTGGAGCAGAAAGGGAGTACAACTTGCCCTCAGGTGACGTACCTGGCAATAGATCTGTAGCAGAGTCATTGGGACGATGCGGAGAAAGAGAAGCAGCGCGGGACTTACTGAACACTTCCTTGAGGTCGAGATACTCCTCAGGCACGTTAGACAGTTCACTGGTTCATCCTGCAACAAAGAACTAGACACAGACGAACAAGCTGACACAAGACAGGAAGCATAACTTTGACAACTCCAGGTTGAGATGGAACCGTGGCCCCAGTCAATTCGGGCATTGTGCCGAAGCAACCAGGGTTGGCCCAGAACTATGGATGCTGATGGAGACTAAGTGAGTAGAAATGATAGTTCTTCGGTGTGATTTCCACACTTGATGAAGGTTATAGGACCGGTGGTGTAAGTGATGGCAGGGAGTTCTTGTCTGTTAAGTGCACTGAAGGATATCGGATGAGTGAATGGAGTTATAGGAATGCGAAGGTTTTGTGCCAGGGTGAAGTCCATGAAATTACTTTCAGCTCCTGAATCCAGTAGAGCCTGGCAGTGATGATCTCCGGTTGCCCATCGCCATCTTACTTGGAGGAAAGTAATCAAATAGGGTTTCTCCATGGTTAATCCGCCCGACAGTAACCTTAGTGCAACTGTCGGGCTTGGTATTTTACCGGACAATCCACCAGGAAATGTCCAACTCCTCCACAGTACAAACAAAACAAAGATATCCTTTTAAATGCGGTCAGCCAGCCCATGCAGGAACATGTCCCACTGTGCCTCCTCATTCCATTTGCACTCGGCCGCCAATATCCGGAACTCGATGGAGTAATCAGAGATAGTTTTGCATGTTCGACGACCTGCCTCATTTTCTCAGAGAGTGCATGGAGCGAGGAGCAGCAAGGGTGTTGATAAGACCACACAGCCGTTCCCCAGTGAGCCGCAAGCCCTGATAACAGTGTTATAACGAACATCACCTTAGACACTCATCAGTGGAAAATGTCTGTGACTGGAGAGAAAAGGACAGAGGACATTTAGTTAAAAATGCTCTGGAATAGTTGGGCTCACCCATGTAACACTTTGGTGTGGGTATGCTCAATTCATGCTGACGATCAGTAGTTGGAACCGTTAGTTGGCGAAGTTGATTGGTGAGTTCGGACACCTGCGCCACCAAGACCTGTACTGCGTGACCCATGGCTGGCTGCCTTCTGTTCTTCTTGACGATCGATTGGTAAATTACTGTGAGACAGAAATTCCTGAAGACTCTCTTCTCTCGCTAAATCCATCTACAGTCAGATTGTTCTGTCAGGTTCAGATTTAATAGCGAGTGAACAGGTTCATTGAAATAATATTTAATGAGTGAGAGACAGAGTTCAAATCCGAAGAATGGTTGGTCCGTTGTACAGAGTGGCGCAGGGACGCCATGGTGCTCCTCGTGAACGAACAGGATCCAAGAACAGAAACTCCAACAGGAAACACGAAGAACCCATGGACACAAATAGCATCTGCAACATGACATCATGACCACTTTCGAGTCAGGTGGCGTGTCATCTCTACGCATTTTGAGCTATCCGCGTGTATGCGTATATGTCTACGCCATTAACGTCCGCGTCATTCCGCGTGTCTGTACACGCAGTCAAATCTCCAGTCATAAATGCCATTAACCCCAGTGACGGTTAAGTTTAGGGATGGGGTTGAGGTAAGTCATATCTTTTTTTTACCTAGGATGGTAAGGGAACAGTCATAAATGCCATTAACCCCAGTGACGGTTAGGTTTAGGGACGGGGTTGAGGTAAGTCATATATTTATATAACGTTAAGTCAATGGCGTTCATAAACACGCTGAAAGGCGATTATGCTTCTTGATAGCACACCAAAAATGGAAATACGAATTGGCGTGTCACACACACGCTACTTCATGAGATCAGTCTGAGATCTGACTAGATCACAAAAAAACAATGATCTGACAACAAGGGATGGAAATCACAGACATTACATAGCGGAGCTAGAGGCAGCAGCTGGTGCTAAAGTGATTAGACAATCAGCAGACACACCAACAAGTAATCACACACACACAGAACAGAGAAGTAGTCACTGAATCCAAGAACCGTGACAATATGGCATTCAGAAGACCTGTATTAATGTATCTCCAAAGTACAAGTTGTCTACAAGTAAAGTTTAAATGTACTAATGCAGCTTAAACATTTATATTGTATACTGTAATATACAGTACATCATATCTTGAGTGGCCATCTAAAACCTAAAACCACTGTATGGAGACATAGAAGACCACAGTTGTTCATTCAGGTCTGAGAAAACCTAAAGCACATATATTAGTCTCATATTTAATTTACTTTCAACAGATTTCCAGCTGAACTTCCTCAGCAGCTGCTGCCAGCTCATTCTCAAATGTTTTCAGAGGATGACTGTTCTTTCCAAACTAATAATAACCCCACTAATAATAAGTGGAATTGTTTAAAGGTGGATTTTCTTTTAGTAAGCACGGAGCTCACAGGGTCAAGTTGTGTGGTTAAAGCTCTTTTTAAAGCGAATGTATACATTCACCAGATATTTAATTAAAGAACTATTAAGAACAGTTGGCTGTTTGGCTGGGGAAGATGTTGATAATGGAGGTTTTGTAATATGTCAGCAGAACATTTTTATTTCTGATTACATTGCAGATTGCAAAATGCGTTTGCTTTTCTAATCTGTAGCAGTTCATCTGACATCTCACCACACCAACACATTTGATCTGACAATGGCTAATATCCATGTGTGATTGAAGGGGGGCATGGCTAACCACATCCTGTGTGACTGCATCTGTCTGAACTATGCACAACATCTGCACAATAATTAACTGACTGTGCTGTTTTTCATAACCTCATTCAACATGCAAGGATTGTCCAGTTCAAGAAAATTTGCTACATGAACTTCACCAAAATTCAACCCACTGCGATCAGTGCCACAATATATTTGTTGCGACACAATAGTTCAATTTTTTAAATTAAAAACATATATTTGTATTGTGGGGATCCATACATGTTATTTATATATATATACATGAATGAATAATGAATATATTAATATATCCACACAAAATAACAGTCCGCCTGAAAGAAAAACACTAAAAAAGTGTTCTTGAACTAATCCACATAAATAGTTAATATTAACTTTTTGTTAACATTTTAGTGAACAAATATTGGTAAAGTTAACCACTTGCTCAGATCACAAGCCAAATTGGTTTCGATAATTCCTCATATGCAGATTATCGGAACTCCATGCAGCTATACTGTTCTTCACTGGATATGAATGTGGTTCATTTGTCAGAAATAGTGAGAAATAATTGTATAAGCAAAATTATAATCAACACTCTAAAAATGCTGGGTTGATTTAACCCAATTTTGGGTAAAACATGGACAAACCCAGCCATTGGGTTACATTTTTAAATTACATTTTTTAACCCAATGGCTGGGTATGTCCATATTTTACCCAAAATTGGGTTAAAACAACCCAGCATTTTTTAGAGAGAATAATTTACATTTATATTTAGTCATTTAGCAGGTGCTTTTATCCAAAGCGACTTACAACTGAGGACTAAAGCAAGCTAATCATGAAGAGGCAAAAACAATGTAGGGAGTGCTCAAAATACAAAGTTCAAGCATTGCTCAGAGTAGCATAAGCACAAGAGAGGATTAAAGGAAAATATATATATTTGGCTAATGAGGCTAAGTGCTCACGGAAGAGATGAGTTTTCAGCTGTCTTTTGAATGTTGTCAGAGATTCTGCATTCCGGTTGAGGGAGGGGAGATCATTCCACCTGCAACCATGAATGAGAGTGATTTTGTGGCTCTTTGTGATGGTACCACGAGCCGTCGCTCATTGCCCGATCATAGGCTTCTGGTTGGGATGGAGACTCGTAGGATCGAGTGAAAGTAGGACGGAGCTGAGCCTGTGGTAGATCTGTAAGCAAGCGTCAATGCCTTGAACTTGAATACGAGCAGCGAATGGCAGCCAGTGCAGAGAGAGTGACGTGGGCCCTTTTGGGCAGTTTACGTAAATGATCCAAACAGCCTTTTCATCTCTCTTTTGAACCATAGATTACAGATGTTATAAGGTCACATTACTCTATTCGTTCTACCAGCTAGATAAAACACCAAAATGAAGCAATACACATCACTATCAACACATCAGTTCAACACATCACACACTGCCAAACTGCAGTCTTCTTGCACTAACGCAAACGCTCTCACATGACTGCCGTGGTTAACAAGACAGGAAGTCAGCATTTTCATGTGGGAGAAGAATATGAAATGATAAAAAAAATGGAGGAGTGTTCAATAGCGTCACACTGCTGAAGGAAACAAAAGGAGGAGAACTCAGAGAAGGGAAAGAGAGAATGAGTGAAGTTAGATAGAGAGATAAACAGATGGGGAAAAACTTCCGAAGCTCAACGAATCAGCATGTATAACTTTATTCTTAAGACTTTGATAAAGTCAGTCTAAGTTTATTGTCAAAAAATAAGAGAATGCTTGGCATTTCAGTTCTTATGAAAAAGGTACTTTGACTACAAGTATTAAGTCCGCATAACCCGGGAGTACAGAGACAAAAAAAGTCATTTAAAGGTGAGCGAAGAGGCATCTGACTGGAGATTTGTACAGTAGCGATGGCGAACAGTAAGACATTGACGGTAGTTGTCCTCCTGAGCATCTTTTTGACAAGAAGTCACACAAGAGGTGAGTTTCAATTTAATTTAATTGTAATGTGCTACTCTTTAGATCTTTAGGCCTATTTAGACGAGTTGGCCCTCTTAGTCTAGCATCCGTTGTTGGCAGATGTCACTTCACTTTATTTGTTATTTCGAATTAAATTCATATTTATGTGTCCCAAAATACTTGGGTATTTGATTAATGGTGAAAATTTTCAGTCAGACAAAGTATATTGAAAGTGTGAAGTTGATCAATTGGAAAAAGTCTACTTTTAGTTTCTTGAACTTTAAAATGCCAAGACATTTACAGTTTACTGTAATGGATGTACAATGAGGAATCTGTTCTGTCACGTGCATGTGAAGGCTTTGTGTTTGTTTCTGTATGTGTTTGTTGCTATTTTAAGAGGACATGCCATGACGAAGCGCTCTTCCTCTCGGGGGGATTCTCGGGGGGAGATGAGTGGCTGAGGTTTTTGAGGGTGACAGAAGCCTGAAAAGAAACTAAATCTAGAACAGTAAATGTAACCATTTACTTGGAACCATGACATTTGTGGTGTGACTGTTTACAATAATGCCATTGAACGCCGTTGATGGGGTGGTATGGCAATCGTTGCTTCGGGCCAGGTGTTCAAACGACGTATTCTTCAGAATTAGGGCTCGTTCCTCTTGTGCTATAATAATAATGTTTGTCTAATCTTTGTACAAAACTGTACACCTCTGACTAACAATAACAAGAAACACGACACATTTATGTACTAAGCCTTCAATATCCCACTTTTACTAATGTAATGTAACAAAAATGAACTAGAATACCCACTTGAGTGAATGATTGTTTCCATGTGCTGAGCGCTCACATTAACCGGTTACTAACATGCTGTGCACTAACTGTCCTAGGAGAACACACTGCATCACATCTGAGTCAAGAGGATGTGATTGAACAAAAACTGACAGGTCAGACAATATACACTTTCATAATTTATTTTTTCCATTTATATAAATATACTGGCACTTTTCATGAATAGGGTACAACAGAATACTCGCATAAAAGGTGAAAGAGGATCTTGACCTTAGGAAAACATTGATGAATTGTTTAGAGAATCGCTATTTTGCGGGGGAATACACACATTAAATGTTTTTTAAACTAGCTGCTTTTTATGCTGAGATAATTACTCCTCCAACAGAGTTGTAAAAAAAACTGCTTCTCTTGCTTGAAGTTTTGAGGTGCTAAAGTGAACTCTATTGATGGAAAGTGCTAAGTGTGTTACATCTGTTTTCAGATAGAGCTTCTGTGTTGTAACTATTTTTAGGGTTAAAAAAGGATATGACACACCAAAGTATAAAAGTAGTCTGGCATGGCAGGGAGAGATAAGTGCGATGAGGGAAAAAAAAAAGTGTAACACTTTACAATATAGTTCATTAGTTAACCTTAGAACTACATGAATTAAGCATAAACAATAGCCTACTTCTTCAGCATTTATTAATCTTTGTTAATATCAATTTCAAATTACTAATACATTAATCAAAGTTTATATTTGTTAACATTAGTTAGTGCACTGTGAGCTAACATTAACAAACAATGAACTGCTGTATTTCTATTAACTAACATTAACAAAGATTAATACTGTATTTTTATATATATAACAAATAAAATACTACAACAAATGTATTGCTCATTGTTAGTTCATGATAGTTTATATAATAACGAATGTTAAACAAATGAACCTTATTGTAAAGTTTTGCCATTTTTTATGCATTATAATACCCATTTTTTACACTCCTGGTCAAAAGCTTGAAAAATATGTATATATATATATATATATATATATATATATTTAATGTTTGTGAAATAATCTGTTATGCTCACCAAGGCTGCATTTATTTGATTAAAAATACAGTGAAAACGGTATGGTAATGTTAATATACCGTTTTTCTATTTGAATATAATTTAAATTGTAATTTACTCCTGTAAAATCATTCTGATGATTCATAATTTATTGATGAATACCGAATTATTAATCACAGTCCTTATTATTATGTTAATTTTTATTTTCCAGGATACTTTGGTGAATAGAAATTTTAAAAGCAGCATTTATTTGAAATGGAAATCTTTTGTAACATCATAAATGTCTTTACTGTCCGTTTTGATTAATATAATGCCTCCTTATAAAGGATAATTTACTATATAAATTATTATTATTATTATCATTAATTCTTACTTTTGAATGGTATCACATGTACAAAAAAATACACTATTAAGCAGTGCCTTTTAAAACATTGATAATAATTAAGAAATGTTTCTTATTAATATTGGAATATTAGAATGATTTCTGAAGAATTGTGTCACATTGAATACTGGAGTAATGATGCAGAAAATTCAGCTTTGTTACAACAGTAAGGCAAAGCAAGGCAAGGCCAGTTTATTTATATAGCACATTTCATACACAGTGGCAATTCAAAGTGCCTTACATGGAAGAAATTAAAATAATCAAAAGAAATCAGAATAATGAAAACAGTTTAGAATAAAAAAAATCATAATAAAAAATAAAATACAGTAAATAATTAAAACAATTTAGAATCAAAAATAAAATGAAGTACAGTAACAGTCGGACGAACAGTGGCACAGTGCTCATTCAGTAAATGCAATCAATATAAATAAAAACAGTTAAGAGTAAAAATAAAATAAAGTAATGCCCCTATCTGAGATGGAAGAGATTGAGCTGGTTTACGGTGCTAACAGTAATACATCTAAATTATATATGAAGTATATGTGTCATATGAAATAAATTAGATATGAATATATACCATTGTTTATATTCTCTGTATTTTTTAAAAATCTAATTAACACAGACTTGGTGAATATAAGATCTTTTTTCAACAACATTAAAAATGTTTAATTATTTCAAACTTTTGACCAGTCGTGTATATTTATGGGGTTTTTTTTTTAATTATATTTTAATTTACTTGAATATTTCAAATGCAGACCACGGTTTTATTGATCTATAGTAAACATATTTTACTGTAATCCAATATTTAATCTGATTTAAATACAAATATTTGATTTCTTTCAGATTTTAAAGAGCAGATCTTTGTGGAGGGAAGCGATGTGTCTTTATGGTGTGCCAATAATGTCACTGATGTCAAATTGAATGAATTAATATTTATTGTGTGGAACATCAGTATGCAGGGCAAAAAATGTTATCTTGGTTCAGAAACCAAACTGGACAACACTTGTAATGATGGAAAGAGGCTGTACAACACTTCAAATGGAGTTTCATTATTCATTCCCAAGATTTCAATGGAAGATGAAGGATTTTACTATTGTGATTTATCAATAAAAGGAGGAAGCAAAAGTGTAAATGTCTCTGTAAGCGGTGAGTACAATTTCCAATTATTCTAACAATATTGTAAAAACTGAAAATTTTAAAACACATGTTATAGGTGAAATTCCACTAACTGAACACTAACAAATGATATTACCTAGTTTCATTCAGTGATAGATTACTTACATCTCTCTGTTTCATTGTAGTCATCATGACAAAAAAATAGTATAGATTTAGCAATGAAGACAACAATACATAATGATGATATCATTCTGATATTCAAATTCAATTAAAGTTCTTTGTGTTTTAGTTATCCGCCTGAAAACTCGTCTGGACATTGAACATGGTCAGAGGATTGCTGTCTGTGAGGCCACATATAAAAAGACGAAACCCACTCTTCACTGGGAACCTGCCATGAACTTTTCCTTCATACACAAGCAGATGGACAATTTTTTAATTATTGAGAGTCGAGTACATCTTCCTGATAATGTGACCATCAGTAACCTCACCTGTGTGGCGTCATACCCCTCTGTGTCCGGCTCTCTGCGACAGAAGAGCACACTGGATATTACAACACGAGGTGAACACACTTCATTTGAAAAGGAATTGACAATTGTTTTTGTTTTTTTTAAGTGGATCAGTGGTAAATTCTGTTTTGTAATTTGACATAGCAGTGTCAGATATATAAGCTTTATATGAAATGAGATATAATGAGTAAAGAGAACAAATACATATAAATATTAGGCCTTTATATAAAACAAAATCAAGGTATTTTAAACAACACAACATTTCAGATGTGGTGAAAATGGTCTTGACCATCATACAAATAAGAGAATTCTCATTTTATGCATATTGTTGGACATGTTATTGGACAAATAAATCAGTCAGAGTGTGAAAAGTTTTAGGAGAGTGAACTATTTTCTAGATGTCCACAAGGTCAAAATTACAAATATTTTGCAATGAAATATGGAGCAAATTTGACCACATTTACAGTGGCTTGAATAAAAAATATATATATATATATATATATATATATATATATATATATATATTAGGGCTGTGCAAAAGTTAATTGCGATTAATCGCATCCAAAATAAAAGTCTGTGTTTACATAAAATATTTTTTTGTGTGCTGTATATAATTATTTTGTATATATAAATACACACACATGCATGTAAATATTTAAGAAAATATGTTATTAATATATAAAATATTTATATAATATAGATTATGAATTTATAAATATATACAGAATTTAAGCGCAAATAATTCTTAAATATAAACATGCATGCATAGGTATTTATATATACAAAATAATTATAGGCTATACAGCACACACAAATATATTATGTAAACACAGACTTTTATTTTGGATGCGATTAATCGCAATTAACTTTTGCACAGCCCTAATATATATATATATATATATATATATATATATATATATATATATATATCGGTTTTGACAATATTAGAGATTTTATGAAAACCCTTTACAATAAAGTTTTATTTGTTAACTTTAGTTTATGAATTATTTAACATGAGCTAACAATGCATTTATGCGACAGCATTTATTAATCTTAATGCTAATTTATAATACATTATTAAACATTTTAAAAGTTGTATTACTTGAACTAACATGAAACAACGAACAATTATATTTTATCAACTAATATTAATAAAGGTTAATAAATGCTGTAATAATATTTCACTCATCATTAGTTTGTTAACTTATGCATTTACTAACAAATGAGACCTTAATGTAAAGTGTTACTTAATTTTTTTTTTTTAACAATAGGTGTTTTTTTGATATATTGCATGTAATGTTACCACTTTATTTTACAGTGCTCTGGTTACATGTTAAATGCGCTTGCTATAGTAATAACAGTAAATTATGCATAATTACATGCAAACTAAACCCTAATCCTAACCCCAAATCTCTAGTAAGTGCATGTTGTTACTAAATGTTAGTAAATGTATAATTACACTGTAACAATGACACCTTCAAATAAAATTATTATTACAAGGGAAATAATCTTCTCTCTCTCTTCAGGAAAAGAAACAAGAATATCTACATGGGAAATTATTGGCATATCACTCGGTTCTGTTTTTTTGATTCTTGCGTCTCTGGCCGCGGCTTACCTACTATGCAGAAAACGCAAGCACATAAGGTGGGTTGTTTAACTGCCTTGATTCACTGCTGCTGAATCATGTTGCATGGTATGATGACTAATTAACACAGAAATGTCTTATCGATATCTAATTGTCTTTGTGTTCTCTTTAGTTCATTGAAGATGCTTTGCTGCAAATCCAAAATCTCACCACCAGCTGAAGACAAACCACCCCAGGTGAGACGTCTCTCAAATCCTGTTTGTTTAGTTCACTCAGTTATTCACTATGTAAGGTCCATTGTAAAAGTGCTTTTTATGCTCATTAAAACATATGTTTGTGTGTTTAGCCCACTAATGTGGAAGAGGTGGAGCCTTATGCAAGTTATATACAGCGAGTCAATTCCATCTACAACTCCTCAGCTGAACTCTGCAATGCCTAACCGACACAACACACACTCACTTTTCATGATGAAACAGGATGCCAGAAGAGCACTGAAAATTAAGAGGGCAAAGACATTTCTGTGGTTAAAATTGCACATTGAAAACAATACTAGTGGAAAACAGTCATCTCATGAGAGCATCCCAATGCGAACAGCGCCTGACTGAGGAACAAAAGTCACACTGAGTCAAATTGTGAACGATAATGACAGAGGAACATTTGTCTCAGTATATGATGAAGAATGACTGGGACAACTTCGGAATCAGTGATATCACTAATATGTAGATTTGTAGACAGTACCTTAGATATTAATCATTTAATCGTTCTTTTTACATTTGTACATATCTTTCCTTTCTGAGAGTTAAAGGTCAAAATCAACCCATTGTCCGCTATTAACAATACTAAAGTTTTTAAATATTGCAAAGGATTCAAATTATGTAAATATTTTTTTTTTTATCACTTTTCAGTATTTCATATGTTCGTATTTGGTCTTTGAGTTAAATACAATCAACTCAACCTTTTTAAAAAAAATAATGGTTCCAAATAAGCGTTTTTTTTTTTTTGTGTAGCAATGTCACAGAAGAACCATTTTTGTGCCAATAAAAGAATGTTCCAGTGAACAATTCTTAAAAGATCCAAGTGAGAAGAACATCCACTGACTCACTCTTAAAAATAAAGGTTCTTGATTGGTATTTATGATTCCGTAAAGAACCATTAACATCCATTGTGCACAAAAGGTTCTTAACAGTAGAAAAAAACACCCTTTGTTAAAATATTTTTATTGATTGATAAAATGTTCTACACGTTAAGAAAAACATGCTTAGGCCTAGTTTCAACGCATTCTCATCCCAAGGCGTCAGTTAAATGAAGCATTTTGACCATGCTTCAATATCTGACGCTTTAGGCACCCTTTAGCGTCAGTTGGATGACGCCCTAGGATCGCGTCTAAACCTTACCTTACCCCAGACCTACTAAACCTAACCGCGTCGTCTGACTTTTCCCTTAGCGTCAGTTACGTGACGCCCTAGGGTCGCGTGACATAAAAGGGTGCCTAAAGCATCGATATTGAAACATGGTCAAAATTGTCAGTTAGATGACACCTTAGTTTAAGGATTGTTTATTGAGAGGTTCTTTGGGGGACCAAAATGGTACTTATGGTATCCCTTTTGGTCCTTGTAAAGGTTCTTAGGAGAACAGTAAGAGGCATTACGAGTGTAGAGTATTTTTTTTTTTAACCAATGATGTTGGTTGTATCTGTAAAAATAGGCCTTTCTATTATTGATCAATGTTAAATAATGAGTAAAAAATCTCTGATGACCGAGGCACTCCTTCATTAAAATGTCTTTATTGTACAAATGACATGTCCTAAACGGACATATTTAAAAAGCCCACGCGTAGCGGCATGAAGCCTTCATCAGGGCATGGCACATTTTAATGAAGGAGTGCCTCGGTCATCAGAGATTTTTTTCTCTACTGTTTCCTTGATGTCCTACCTTGGACCGAAGAGCACCCAGGTTAAACTTTTTTAAAAAAGAATTGAGCACGCCACTCATCTTGAATCCAAACGTTAAATAATGAGTGTTTGACTTGGTACCTGCTTTTAACTCAGTGTTACTTAAGAATGTAACATTGTCAGATTTGTGGTCAGGTGATGGCAAGTCAGACCCACTCAGTCACACTGTCCCCTTGATTCAGAGTGATTCAGTGGGACGATGTGGAAACTTAGCCGTAATTGTATACCTATAGTATCTGAATGCTTGTTACTGGAAACAGAAGATCAGGTACGCCCTCAGATATCACACTGATACTCCTGCAGAAACTGAAACTGGTGGGTCAAAATCTTTTTTGATGTTGTTGTGGGACTCCCCAAGCTTTGAACCTGTCTCACAATTTACTTAATACAACACGCAAGCAGATTGCTCCCTCAAGTGGTTGTTTATTGGTAGTATACGTTTCTTTAAACCTCTATAGACCTTATTCACAGCATCGTCGTCTTTGTTTTTTAATGGGAGTGAAAGTGAGGCTGTGAGACTGAGGGATAGACGTCGTATATCTCTTTCATGGGTTGTGTTATTTAAAGTGTTTTTGGATTGTTCTGCTGACAAAACACAGTAAAAATACCTTTCCAAGAAATGTCAGTAGACAAAAAACTCAAGACAACATTACAAGTAATCTTGGAGTGCTTTTTAGCAGATACCATTGAAAACACTGTATAAGTCTTTCCCTCACAGTCTCGCCCTACCTGTCATGGTGCTGATAAGTTTTATTAAAGCTATTAACAGGGGTGTAAAACAGAAAAAAGTAAATATTCGGTCATCATGATTAAATCTTAACTCTATATTTATAAATTGAGTATTGGCTTCTTCTCACAATTGTAATGAATATTTCTCATGGTAGATTTCTTTTTTAAGAAATTGATTCATGCAGGTACATTTCTTGGCTTATATAAGAAAGCTATTTGGACATTTCTACATATTGACTAAAAAAGATACAATTTACTGTAAAAAAATATTGTTGGTATAACTTAAAAAATTAAGTAACCTGGTTGCCTTAAAATTTTAATTTAGTTGAAATGGAAAAATTGAGTAAATACAATGAAGGAGATTGATTTAATCATCAGAAACTCAATATATTATGTTATCTGAACTATATAAATTATTTAAGTTGATTTGACAAAAGAAAAAATATTGTGATTACAAATCATGAAAATACTTTTTACAGTGTGTGGGGAAAGTTGTCACAAAATACTCTGCCAATAGACTGTCCATTTTTAGGCTTTTTAAAAGTTAAAAGCACAAATTGTTGATGAAATTGAAATGCATCTTGGAAATCATCAAAACATAGAAAATTGGACCTGTAGTTATTTACACGACACATGTGACAATTAACCCTGTTGTTGTTTCTCTCAAGTTTTTAACTTTCTTACAACTTAAAATGTTGCGTAATAATGATTTTCCTGGATTTAACTTCTTGTGATAACCAAACATACAAGTTGACACTTTATTTCAATAATACAGCTTTATTTCGAGTTGACTAAAAATGTTACAAAAGTCAAACAAAAGTTTATTTTTTACAGTGTATTTATTAATCATACTAAACACATTTGATTCCTCTTTGATGACCGAGAACTAGGAATCATTAGAAAAATATAAATCTCTCTTCAGTTTCATTAGTCAAATTTATATAACACATACACATATAGGAAGATAAACATAATATGCGCTTTTATTCACTGTTCACATTACTGACAATGCATCAAATTATATATATAAAAAATCTTTAATATGTTATACTTCATGTTGTAAATATGCAGTGGGGGGAAAAACAGACATGAAATGAAAACCTCCATAAATTAATTAAAATGAATAATAATAATAATAATAATCATTCCATCCTATACAAAGTCAACAAGGGCTCAATTTCTCAGGTGTCCATTCCTGCTGAATGTGCTGATTTCAGCCACATAAGTATTTTAATGCTCAGCCCATGAGCACATAATCATCTGAACAGTCCTCATTGCTTTTTTGCTTGGCCATGTCTGTTGTGTTTTGAGGGAGCTTTACAACGGCATAATCACAATCATTATCCTCCAATTTTTGAACAGGCCTTTCTGGATGGATGGTAGTGTGGTCAATAGAGGCATATAGGACATCTTCTGTCTGTGTGGGTCAGAAAGAAAACACAAGCCTTTATGATCGAGGAAGACGTCTTTTAACTGACATTTGAAAAAAAAGTGTCAGTGTCCATTGCGTTAGTGTGTGATTAAGGCTATAACATGTATAACAATGGGGTATTGTCAGAGAAACTGTGAACTTTGAGCTAAAATCAAACTATTCAACATTTTCTTATTACAATTTTATTTATTATTTATTGTTTGTTTAATACAACTTCCTTGAAAAAAAAGAGTTGTACATAGATTTTGTCATATTGTGTGTCTTAAGCAGAATAAATCAGGGTGGTGGTCTTTACAATAAGGTTTCAGTAGGTAATGCCTTAACTAAAAAGTTAGTTAATAAAAATACAACAGTTCATTGTTAGTTCTTGTCACCTCAGTTTGATTAAAAAATGTATCAGTAAATGTAAAAAATGTCACTAACAAAGATTAATAAATGCATTAGAATTGTGTTTCCTTGTTAGTTCCCTCAGTGAAAGGTAAATATACTAAAATGTATTTTAAATACATTTATTTTATGCTAAGTATACTACATGTACTTAATATAAATACACTGCAATTGTAATTTTAGTATACTAAATAGGTACTTCTAATGGTTAAACTTTATTTTGATAGTCCACTTTAGACATTATACTAACTATAAGTAACTTTGCAACTACATGTCAACTAACTTGCATTAGAGTATTGGGTGTTAGTGTTCGGGTTAGGAGAATAAGTTTACTTGTAGTTGCCAAGTTACTCATAGTCAGTGGAATATCTGTTGCGGACCATCAAAATAAAGTCTTAGTACCAGATATCAAGCATGCAGTCGACTAATAATCTAATGAGAGTAAGTTGACGTTGTTGCAAAGTTAAGTATAGTTAGTAGAATGTCTAAAGTGGACCAATCTGGCATCGAACAACCAGCCCAAGTCAGCTTAAGATCTGTGGTCCAGTCTGGCATCCAACAACCAGCCTAAGACAGTTTGCATTGCGTGGTCTAGTCTGGCATCCAGCAACCAGCCTAAGTCAATTTAGCTAGACCCATCTGGCATCTAACAACCAGCACACGCCAGGTCACAATCGACTGACCAGTCTAGCATCTGACAATCAGCCCAAGCTAGCTCATAATCTGTGCATCACATAGACAATATATTGTGTATGTATTCAAAAAAAAAGCTTCTGTATCTGTCCTGTATATATATATATATATATGTGTGTATGTGTGTGTGTGTGTATGTATATGTGTATATAGATAAAGTTGTCCTCCGAAGAGGGGGGGTGGAGGTGGGTGAAAAAAAAAATTAAAAAAAAAAAGAGAAAAAGGAAAAAAATAAATAAAGTGGACTATCGAAATAAGTGTTACACAACTAATTTTTTACTTGATATTAAACACAGGCTTAATATTAAGAAAGTATGGCACTTGTGTGCCATTATGTAGCCATTTGGAACGCACTGGTGAAGGGAACAACAAAAGACAACGTAATTTCTTCATTATTTTCACCTGGGATGTTCCCATGACATACAGCACCGTTTCCATCAGTTGAATAGCTGTTTTACGACAAACATTTATTATTATTGATGTTAACATAACTGTTGCAATTAAATATACATTTTAAGTTTTCAAAATGCACGTTATATAGCCTGTGTGTGAGTGTCTGAACTTTAAAACGTGCCCATCTTTGGACCCTGCATTACCTAACATTTACTATGAAACGTATTTAAACATAACATGCCAAAATTTGTACAATCAATGTAACTGATGTATAGATTAATATCTTACCCTCATGTTGTTTATTTTTATTTTTACATTTTTTAATTTTCAGCTTTGTTACTCTTCTTTTCTGTATTCTGATGACATTGAACATATACAGGTAGATTATATATTGTATACACAGTTGTATGTCATGAACATGTCATCTCTGTATGTTTTGCAAAAAAAAAAAAAAAAGTAAAAAATTAATAAATAAATGAAAATGTAGACTTTGAACCCGGGTTCGTCACTTATTGGGGTCCCCTGGAAACATTTCCTTTGTGGTCTGTTCTATTTGTAGCGTGTTTCTGTATTTGGTTTTGTTGTGAGTATTTGGAGCACATGTGAAACTAATGAAGATGTTTTCGTAATTTGCGAGTGTTTTTCTATTTGCATGTGTTTTCTTTAGTGCCAGCACATTGAGCTCTCTCAGCCACCGTATTTTTCACTAAGGCAGACTCTGCATTTATTGCCTCTGACGTGTTTTCTCACCATCATGCACCTACTCTTAAGTCTTAAGAAAGTCCAAAGTTTCCAAAACTCACAATTACAAGTTGTGCTGATGTTCATGTGCATTTTATCTCATGAATATATTCTTTCTGACATGACTTGAAAATACCGTAACTGTCGAAGCTAAACCTTTGACCACCTACACTCCAATGCATTGTAGTACACTTTTCCCATTAATGCTACTCTAATGGCCTTTTAGACTTTTAGAAATGTGGACTGTCAAAATATTATGAATTATTAAACAAGTTAAATCCTGACCAGTCCTCAAAAATTACACAGAAAGTTGAAAGTTGAAATAAATTTAGAAACGCTAACTGCATGAAAAGTAACAATGTAAAATGTTTTAAAATAATTTCAACTCATGCGTGACATTTAAATCTCTAGCGTAATAGTGGACACCAAACCATTTAATTGTGTTTTACATCAGTACATTTATAGGCTATATGGATTTTACAAGCAGTTCATGGGTTGAAGCTCTTAATTTTGATCTCTCAAAGAGCACGATATCGATGCATTTAACCTTAAAACGTATTTTTTTTTTTTTTGCATGCCCCCGAATCCCCGTAAAGCCACAGTGGTAGTGCTCGGCAGTTTGACCAAAAATTTACATCACGTTTTTTTTATTTTTTTTATTAAGCCAGTTTTCCGGTTTATGACGTTTTTTTTTTTCATGAATAATCAGGTGTTCAAAGCATTTTATACTGGTTGATAGAGCAATAAATTGACTTAGGATGGTCTATTTTGATATCATTAGTTAATATTGTAGAATAGAATAGCACCCAGTATAACCTAAAATTTTTATTTCATAACGTTCTAATAACATTCTTACGTATAACCAAGCAAGAACGTTAATACAACGTCTAAAAAACCTGGACATTTTGAATGTTCCTAGAACATTCATAAGTAACGTTTTTATAACTTAATGGGAACGTTATGAAACGTTCGTATAACCTAAAATTTACGCCGCTTAGCAGGGGAAGAGGACAGATGCGCGATTGCACTGAACACGTTTTAAGTGCAGGATTCTCTGAGCGAGCCCAGAGAAAATAGACCTATTCTTACAAGAGCAGCGTGTATCTGAGAGCGTTTGCGCGATATTGCTCGCGCGAGCAGACAAATTCGTACTCGCGCATTATATTAATTCACTTTCGCGCTACAATAGTGAGCTCTCGACATTTAACAGGAAAATAACGCCATAGTTCTGCAGCATCCACTTTCCCTGTAACGTAACACCAGAGCACGGCTGTTTGATTTACCCTCGCCTCACCGTCGCTGCTTAGAAGTGCAACATTGTAAAGGGTCTGTCTGAAACAGTGTCGTGCAGCGTAACATTCGTTCCGAACGTTGTCTAATTAAATACATCGGTATGGCAGTATTTTAAAAATTAATATCATAACAAAAATATACACCAGTTTTCGGTATGAACCAACATAGTTTTACAAATTCATATGGGAAAGAACGGCCATTTATGAACCATTTATGATTTACTCCAGCATAGTACAACAAAGTTCCTTTTAAGCAGTAAAACTGTAAATACCCAACCCGATCTCACGACCAAGTCGTACGAATTCGACAAATGATTAAAAAGTGGCTAATTCGTAACAATTCATACGACCTCACTCGTACGAATTAATACGATTTTGCTAAATCGTACATATTTTACGAATTGGCCAATTCGTATGAATTCGTACGAATGACCTACCCCTTACCCCGCCCCTAAACCTAACCATCACGTGGGTTTAGACAAATCGTACGAATTAGTACGAGTGAGGTCGTACGAATTAGTACGAATTAGCCACTTTTTAATCATGCGTCGAATTCGTACGAATTGGTCGTGAGATAGTGTTGAAATACCATATAAAATGTCCTTAGACAAAATATACATTTGGCCTGCCTAAGAGGGGGCCTACGCCATTGTGCCTATGGGGCCTCTGAACTCTTAATACGGCCCTGTCGGTGAAAAAAACAGGGGAATGCAAATGACGCTTGGGGATATACAGTTAAAAAAGCGCAGACAGATCCTGAGGGGGCAGACTGTCACAGTCTTCATCTGCACCAGTCTGTCCTTGTCTCTGCACTACACTTCCCAAAATCCTCCTCGTCTCCACACCTGAACTCACTCCCTCACTTACCAGCCTGTTCATCGTTTTTCTTCATCCGTGTCACCTGTTTTCACCTAGTTATGTTTGATTCTTGCTTGTATTTAGTCTCCTTCTGTTCAGTTAGTCTTGTTTGGTTCTTGTATGTATGTTTCTGAGTTTTTGTGAGTGTTCCTGCCCGTTTTCCTGCTTATCTGTACCCACCTGTACCAGTTTGTTTTATTTTTGAAATAGTAAATCTTTGATTCTGAGGTTTTGCCTCAGCCTGTTTCTACCCGCACCAAACCTGTGACACATTGCCTTTAATGTGAGCATAAAATCAACATGGAACCTGATTGGGAGCCAGTGCAAGGACTTTAGTTTTGAAGAAACGTATATTCATTTCTTTTGACTCCAATCAGCAGCAGAATTTAGCACACATTACAATTTGTTGAGTGTGGTTTTAGGAACCCCAGCAAGAAGTGCATTGCAGAAGTCAATGTGGGAAAAACAAGAGTATTGATTAGACTCTCAGTCATAGGAAAAGATAGCATAGGGCAAATTCTAGCAATATTTCTGAGATGAAAAAAGGAATTCTATCTATTGCACATGTGGGTCAAAGACAAACTCGAATAAAATATAACTCGTAATTTTTTTTTTTAAATTTTGTTTGGAGCTCCAAAACAGAGCCATGTAGCCTATGGGTAACATCAGTGTACCAGCTTTACGAAGCTGAGAGAGCCAATAAGCAAGACATCAGTCTTATCACTATTAAGGCACAAAATGTTTTGGTTCATCCATGTTTTTATCTCAGAAATACAATATGAGAGAAAAGAAACATCCACAATTTGACCACGCTTAGAGTGAATATAAACCTTGTTGCCTTTAGCTCATTCAGGGAACTGCAGTTAGAGGCCTGCCGCTCTTCTTAGCCACTTGTAACTGAAGAGCACCCCTTTACATTTTTTTCTAAATTACTATATTCATTATTTATGAATTTGACATTGACAGCACTCCCATGAATACGATTTCTATTTGGATAATCCAGACTTTTTTTATATGCTTTTATCAATGTTGTAAAATATATAAATTATGAAATACATTTCTCGCATTCAAGGTTTCTATTTATTAGGCATACCAGCATCATAAATTGATCGTAAGTTATGTAAGTTTCACCTCAAGTCATTCTCTTGACACTTTGACATCCTTTCCCACCTGAATTCTATTTCTGTCACATTGGCATCATTTGAAGAAACAGGAAAAAACACTGTGACTAAATGTTTATCATTTGAATACTACATTAAAAAGACTCATTCATGGGAGACTTCATGAATCCCCCAAATGCAAAACAGGCCAACACATCAACCGTTTTTTTTTTTTGAGTGGTAACCAAAAATACCTATGATGAAACTGACAAAGATCTAAACTAACGCCCTCATGTTTTAACATGATTTTATAAGATGTGCGAGTTTGAACATCAGTAGGGCTACATATTGTACTATACATACAATGAAAATATCATTTTAATTATACAGTTTAAATTATTTCTGTAGAACCCTGACGTGAGTTCACGAGAGTGCCACGACGCATGCACAAGAACTGAGAAGATGGTGCAGATGGGTCTCGATGTAGTGTTTAAAAGTGCCTTACCAATCCCGCAAAATGAATGACTTACCTTTCGCACTTTCCCATCAAATGATCATTAGCGTCATCATCTCAGTTCTTACACGTGTCGTGGCGCTCTCACGTCAGAGGTCCACATGGAAGAAAATGTATAGTTGAATAAAGTCGTCATTTTTGACGTTTTTTTTTTTTTTTTGTGCACAAAAAGTTTTCTCGTCACTTTATAAACTTATAGTTGAGCCACTGTAGTCACTTGACAATTTTAATGATGTCTTTACTAACTTTTCTGGGCCGGCAGATGCAATTACCCAGCAGCCTATGGAGGAGTGAGAGCTCTCAGATTTCATCAAAAAGATCTTAATTTGTGTTCCAAAAATGATCACAAGTCTTACGGGGTTGAAACAACATGAGGGTGAGAACTGACCGAATTTTTAGGTGATCTAACTCTTTAAGAGTCAAATAAACACTCAATTAAACTTCTAACATTATTAATTATTGGCATTCTTACCTTTGTGTCGGCTGCTGTTGCTGTCTGATTGTCATTATCTTCTAAACAAAACATACAAATTACATGTCAATAAATAGTCACTTCACAATGTAGCCATTCATTGTACACAATGAGTATTAGCTGTTGTACATCCTCACAAAATTGACTGTTAGCTAAAAGAAGTGTTGCATTTTGTGTGAACCACACCAACTTTGACATAAAACTGAATGCATGCTTGAATCTCTGCCAAAGGTTTGCCTACTCAAGTAAAAATGTATTGCTGGTACATGCTATTTCAGAGTATATTATTATCAGAGTAAATTCTCTTACCAGCTCTTTCAAGTTTCTTATTCCTAAGGATAAAAATATATAAATGATATAAAGTCAAAAGTGGATTATATAAAGTCACATGCACAATGCAATTTTCCATTTCCAAAACATTTAGAAAAAGTAGCACTCAGCCATTAGACTTTACGACATAACTTATATTGCTTAATAATTCCCAATACTAATAATATGAATAATAAAACAGAAACTGAATAGACTTTTAGTACATCTCAGTAAATCATCAAGCTCTACAGATGCCCTACCTTCGTTTGCAACATAAATTTCCCATAGTCCCAACAAGCTCAATGGTTTGCCGCAGTGTAAATAGTGAAGATACAACCACAAACTGCAGATTGCTGAAACTGCAAGTGTGGTCCAAACCCAGAGTTTCCAACTATAGCCAATCAGACAGAAAAAGATGTGTAAGGACAGAATTCGTAAAACAGGAGAGTGTTAGAGAGAGTGATTCAGTGTAAAGCAGTCAACAGCAGAGAGCTTGTATTTCCTGAGTTCTGTGGTTTTTATTTGCCTCCTAGCATGAAACGAAGACACGTTCATTTTCATGTGTGCACGTTTACAACTCTATCACTGGTCATTTTGCTATCTCATATCTGTCTAATTTGTGTGTGTTATTTGTTATTCCACGACAGCTTTTCTGAGACTGGTCTGTTCAATGTTTCATTTTATTTTTTCACTAAACTAATGTCAGATGTATGCAAATAGCTCACCAGGAAAAACAGGCAGATGAGTTGTTGAAAAACAAGTTCCTCAAAACTGTCGATGAATTGTTGTTAATTCCTCTTTATTTGAATGTTTGTATGCTCACATACATACATAGCCTATTTAAATGCTAATAACACAATTATTCATACCGTCTAGTGTGTTCAAAGGTGTGATATTTGGTTTCTGACAGTTGATGCTTGTTAGGCACAGGAAGTTAAGCATTTCCTTCAAGACTACACCACACAAATAATAGCCCACTCTTACCATGATCAAGACTACACCGCCCATACAAATAATAGCCTATACTCTTGCTAATGATCTGCTTTGTATTATTGACCATAAGATGCTTTATAATATTTAGAAATAGCCTATTAGTGACTTCCAATCTGCTTATAAGTTTATGCCTTAAGCTCAATGAAGCACATTATTTATTTTTTTATATCACGATCAGACAAGCAGTATGAGACTATTTCTCTTCACAGTCATTCTTAGCCCTGTAGGGGTCAGTATGAAAACACTTAAGCACACACACACACACACACACACACGCACACACACACACACACAAATGCTTTGTAGCACTTTCTGACTTCAGTCAAGACAGAACATTTTTGGCAATATTACCCTTGATGTCAGACACGTTTCTTTATGGTGGATTTCAGAGGGATGAAAAATTATCAGTGCATCATCTTGTTAACTCTCTTGCAGCTTTCTCTGGGTGAGAGTTATATCCTTATGTATATTATTTTTAAGTTGGTTATGGTAAACATTAAATATTGTTTTATGACAGCCTGTAAATCTGTTTTATGAACCAATTGCTGAATGTATCTCATAGGGATTTTTCTTAACATTAATCTATGTTCAGAACACAAAGTATTATTTTACTATAATAGGATGCTATGAAGTACTAAATGAGCTTTTTTGTGGCGAATAAATTAACAATAATCAGTCTTTATAGATTAAATCATATTTATTACACACATTGGGATCACTGGTTTAAGAGGTGAATTTAAATACAGAGATGTGGAGACACATGCTTTTCTAAATTCTTAATTGGCATCTATGGCTAAAGAACACCCCATTTCAATTGCACAAAAGGTTCTTTAGTGGAAAAAAGGTTCCTTGTAATATTAAAATGTTCATCACATTAAGAAAAATGGTTCTTTAACTTTTCACTGAAGGGTTCTTTGGTGGAGCCCAATATGTTTATTCAATGGCATCAGTAGGAAAACTCTCTTTTGAATTCTTAATTTTTAAGCATGTTTGGGTGGTTGAAGTTTTCATTTAAGCCTCTACTTGGGGAGGGTTACATCCCAGCAAACACAATTGTTCAAAGAACGTTATGGTTGCTAGGTTGAGTAACAAAAATATTATTTCTGAATATTGAACAGAACTGAACAAAGGAACATGAACGTGAAAACAAACTAAAAGTCCATGATAAAAGACTAGCCTGAACATAATGTGACAGAAACATTCTATTGTGTCATTTTGCAGATATTATTGGAAGGAGCATTACTTTTTAATGTTCTCTGAAGGTTCTGAAACAATTATCTTTTTTAAAATCCAAAACAACCTGACCAGTTAGCTGGGTTTTGACTGCCTTTAAGATACCTTTAAGGTGGAAATGAATATTTGGTTTTAAATGACTGACTTCTCGGAGTGTGACACACCAAAGCTTTTTTCCCGTCTTGAGCCTTTGTTTTAAAGTGGCCTAAATTTTTGTCTTTCTATGAAAGGTCTCAAAAGGATGTGGTTAAGCATGTAACTGTCTCAGTGGTGAGTCTATTTTGAAGAACCACTTGTTGTGCACAAGGTCCACCAAACATAAAGTATAGGACATATTAAGCATGCGAGTAACAATATTTATCCACTGAAGGCGAGATAAAGTTGGACCCATGTGCAGTTTATTTAAACACCAACAAAGTGACATAAAATATATAATCCAAAATAGACTGACTTGACTATTGACTTGATATAAACTAACAGCACATGACAGGATCACATAATGGGATCAGGGAATCAGATGACAGGAGCATAACTACTTTATTATGACAATACATAATAAAATACATAACCTAAACATGGCAAAAAACCCAAAGGGACATATTCCTCCCTCTAAAAAGGCGCCTCCAGAGTCCATAGCTAAACACTCATCCAAAGCACAAAACAGGGTGGTGGATTGGACCAGGGCGAGGGATGGAGGGACCATGGAGCATTGGTGGACCTGGACGGTGGAGCATGCACTGGACGAAACCATAAACAATGAAGCAGTGGCAGACCAGGGTCGTGGTGTAGGGGCGGACCCGGGTCTTGGGGCAGTGGATGAGACTATGCAGGATCAGGTGGCATGGTACAGTAGATCCAACAGTGATGGAGACCACCTGGGTGGAGCTAATGGTGGTAATGACCACCAAAGTAGAAGGCCGCCATGGTAGATTTGGTCAGGACCAGACACATGAACAACCTTCATTACCGTGACTTGGAGCATAGAGCTCTCTTGGGTAGCCTCCGCATCCATGGCATGGAGTACAAAGAGTTCATGGACAGCCCCCATAGCCTAAATAGAGCCTCTTTGGCCGTGATGGCAAACAGAGAGTTTAGGAAAAGAGTCTTTGGAGTTGCTTTAGTAGTCACTGCTGCTTCTGAGGAAGTGTATGCAGCCCACAAACACAGCATAACAGTGGCCACTACAGGAAGTGCTGTGGATAGAGGGATGATATCAGGATCAACTGGATTTGGACTTGGGACCACAGGATTTTAATTGTCGAACTAACTGACCTTAACTGTGGATCCATCATACTTGTGATTGGTCTCATTCACCCCAAGACTGGTCCGTTAGCAGAGGAGATTTGTGGTGAACCAAGCTCTACTGCCGTTGGAGTTTTCTATGCATCAAACATTAAGTATGGGACATACCAAGTCACAATCAAAGAGCTCGCACCAACGAAAGCTGACTGTGTTGTCGCCTCTCTTTGGCTGTGTCTCTACCAAAAAGCTGAGCTTAGCCACACCAAAAGGCCGAAAAGGCGATTGTCAACTAGCATGTGCATTCTGAGCCTGTGTGCATGTAAACATTTGTCTTTCAGCAGATTTCAATCATCTATTTTTGTCATTCAAAAAGGACTGCACTGCAGATATACAAACCTTAAACAAAGCAGCACTTGCTTACCATTTTGAATATCAATGAAGCTGATCACTTCCTTCATTACAGTCGGCTCATGTTATTATGAAAATATTTGTGCATTGAATGCTCATGTAAGACGATGAAAACACCCTGCCTGCATGCTTCATTTGTGGAGCTAGGCGACTGAGATCACCCGTCAGAGTGAAAGTAGCCGTGGTCCCTAAGGAGGTATTCGACAACGCCTTTGAGCCACTAGAGTCATTGTTTTCTTTATCTGGTCAAGTGCTGCATTGCCGTACTGGGGGTGTGTTCGGGATATTGTTCAGACAAAGTGACCTGAAAGCACACCTGACGTCTGACGTCTGATGATGTCATCATCAGAGGTTATTTTAGCCAAATTATTAGCGTGTTTGCCACACGTTCACAGCATCTCTTTCCCGCTTTTTCAGGGAACAGGGTTACAGTCTAGTAAGTTACCTAAAACGTTTTGGTGAAAATACTCAGACTGTTTTCACTCATTAATTTGCTCATGGTTTGTCTTAAAGCATAACAACACAATACATTTTCATCACAAGGGGTCTTTAACAATTTTCAGTCTTGCAATCATCCATTGGATTTGTTAAGTCAAGTCACCTTTATTTATATAGCGCTTTTTACAATACCAGCCTGTTCTCATGTAAATGTATCTCTATAGCGCGCATTGTGTATTATCATGCAATTTAAACGCAAAAATGAGTTTTTGCGTGCATATGCAGTTTTCGCGTACATTTGATACGCAGTTAATTTGCATACAATACCCACACCACTAATTCTACCCAAACGTGTAATACACACGCACCCCACACTACTACTAAACCTACCCTAACCAACTTATGTGTATCATATGCACGTAAAAACTCATTTTCGCGTATAAATTGCACGATTAACACACTGCGTGCTATTGAGATGCATTTAGTGTGATCAGGTTGACAATACATCTTGTATCAAAGCAGCTTCACAGTGATAACATGAAAATAATACAACAAAGTTTGATTCTAGAAAAAAAATTGCGTCAACGTCCACCTTAAGTAAGGCAGATCAATAATATTGTTGAATATTAAATGTCCCAAGCAAGCCAAAAGCCAAGGCAACCGTGGTAAGGAACCAAAACTCCATCAGGTGACAAAATGGAGAAAAAAACCTTGGGAGAAACCAGACTCAGTCGGGGGCCAGTTCTCCTCTGGCCAACGAAGGAACAGTGTATGATTCAGGCAGCATTACAAGTCAAATTGGACCGGAACATTTAGAGTATTTATCCATTTCCATCTGGTTGGAAGTCAAAGTAATCACGCCGGTATGGAGACAAATTGTTGAGGAAAACAGTTGTCCCCTTAAGTTTCCACCCACACTGATTGACTAACTGCTACATGTTGTCTCATTGACTCCTACATGTACCAGTGTACCAGTGCAAAAGCTTTTTAAACTCCATCCTGAAGCAAACCATCTCCAATCATTTCAGCATGTTGGTCATTGTTAACTGTTTTAATAAATACATATTTAGGAATGTTGTTCTAAAATTAATGGCTATTAACATGCCTGCTTTAATCAATTGATCTCTTGATTATCTTTCTTGTAAAAGGTATACACACATCCATATCGGAAGGACACTCTGTAAGATTTCATCTCCAAGAATTTTCTTTGGGGACCATTGATTTGATCGAATGGAAATACCACACAATCAACCGAACCATCCTGCTGGCTAGTATCAATCTACATAAAAAGCATTCAAAAATATTCGGCAAGAGGACTGGGATGCAAATAATGGAGAATGGTACACTTCAAATTGAAGATATAAAAGATGAAGACTCTGGGAACTACTCTTGCACCATCATTTTCCATGATCAAAGAATAAAAACAGAGCAGATTTTTCTTCAAGTACTTAATGGTACCGTTCTATATCTTTCAAATTACTTCCTTTCTCAAGATAACCAGACTATAGGATGATAGAGTAACTATCTTTGGGAGAATCTATAGTCAATAATAATATCATCATCATCAATGTATTCTGTAAGGAATGTGTGTTCTTTGGTAATGATCTTTTTTTTTTCTACCGAAGACTTAAAAACTCAACCACCAAACAGCACAGTGTACACCACAACATTAAAACCATCAGGTACCTTTCCATTCACTTCACTTAATAATTAGATTAAAGGCACATCTTCTTTTTCTTCTTCTATAATAACACTTTTCCACTGCATGGTAAGGAATGGCATGGTTCAGTACGGCACACTTTGGCACTTTTCCACTGCATCAACCCGGTCTCATCCCAAGACGTCATATTACTGACGTTTTGGGACGTCTTTTGACCATACGTCAATATTCGCCTTTTTAGGGCGCCCTTAAACGTCGGTAGATGAGGTTATGGGATCCTAACTCTACCCCAGACCTAAACCTAACCCTAAACCTAACCCGTCACCTTACTGACGTTAAAGGTAAAGCGTCAGTTGTATGACGGCCCGGGATCGCCATCTACCGACGTTTAAGGGGTCCCTAAAAAGGCGGATATTGACGTATGGTCAAAAAACGTCCCAAGACGTCAGTTATATGACTTTTTGGGATGAGACTGTGTTAACTGCATGGTATACCATATAGCCTTTACACACAAACACACATTCATCTATCTATAAATTACAGAAACGTCTGTCTGTGTGTTTGTTACTCACATATCTAGGTAAAAGAAGCACATATTGAAGATATTTAGATGACGTAAGGATGTGGTTTAAAAATAAATGAAAATTAGAAGGGTTGTGGTCTAAAAATATCTGAATATTATATTTTATTCACAACATTTGTGGTAGCCCATTCACAAACTGTTTGCTCAAGCGTTTTCTCGGAGGTTACTGTTTAGCTGCTCCAGCCAAGGTCTGAACCTCCCCTGAATCTTTGCACTTATTCAATTGTGGATGTTAACTGAATCTGTAAGTCAGCTACACTGTTTAATTCTGAATATTATATTTTATTCTGGTGCGCTAAACGTTATTGTTTTCTCAGAGTTTAGGCTACATTATGCTATTCAGCGACTCAAACATACCAAACCAACAATTACTAAAAAAAAAAAAAAAAAAAAAAAAAAAAACACACAAAAACTGATTTTGTGTTATCTAGTTATTATGTTATAAATCAGAAAAAGGTTTTGTTTAGGAAATATCTTTTATATTCCCACCCCTTTGCCTCACATTAACTATGCAACAATAGGCAGCGTTGTTGTGAGACTTTTTTTTTCTTCTTTTTATTAACACACACACTAAAACAAGATTTGGCCTTAAGCAACAGAAAAGCAAAAGTACAAAATCCACTTTACCACATTGTACTGGAAAATGCTACATATCATATCTTATTTTCTTTCTTTTCCTTTCGCAGTAGAAACCCGCATTCCTGGCACAGCATTGATCGCAATACCTGTGTGTTTGGCACTTGCAATCCTCTTAATTGTAGCCTCTATTTTCATCTTTAAATGTAGAAAAAAGTGTTGCTGCACTTCAGGTTAGTGTTATTGTATTGTGTTATTTCTCTCTTATATATTAATCATAGGTCTACTCCAAATAAAAATGTTTTCTATGCGTCACTTACTCACCCTCATGTTATACTAACCCTATATCTTTCTTTCCTCTTTTCCATTATAATTAATGTCAATATGAACTAGTGTGGTAATGCTCCAAAATGACAAAACTTCATAAAAGTACTATCCAGAAACTTGGTTAATATGACTCATTTAATAGCTATATTAATTTTATCTAATTAAATATAATGTTATGTAAGAATTTTGTTATGTTCGAAATTGGGTGTCTAAACTATAATCTGTCCCGTGACAAGAGGTCAGTAAAATGGTACAGCTACAGGATACTCAAATTCTTTGAAAATTGAGTGGGAAAACAACTTAACACAACCACATTGACGATATTGGACAAAGAACTGAACAAAACACTGGGGTTGAATACATGCGATCAAGGATAAAACAAAACAGGTGTGGGAACTAATTTACAACCAGGGTAAAACAAACTAGAGAACTAAAGCAGGCAAAACAGGAACAGAAGAAACACAAGCAAAACTAAACATACAGTACATGTATCATGTTACAGGACAGTATAAAAATGTATAATCAAAGAAATAAGGAATAAATGATCATTTGACATGCTACCTAATCGTATTTTGATTTTGCTCTGTTTTGCAGAAGAGCCCATCTACGCAAATAAAACAGCTTATAATTCAAGGAAATAAAAGGTCACAGGTAGGATATCAGATAATGAAACCACATAAAGGCCCCCTAATTTGTAAAGAGGTAAAAACCCATGATGATGTCGCAGTGAATAAACTACCTCTGTTTTTCCTTAGAAATAAATGTGAGCATTGCAGTGATGCATTTCTGTTTGCCAAACCGGAAGTTAACATCACCCTGGTTCCCTCAACAAAAACCTAACATTTTTTTTTTTTGTCTGTTGCTGTTCATATGTGTTAAGTGTAGATGTTGTAGATTTTTGATAGTTCACTACTGAAATCTTTGCTTACCACTGACAGTGAAATTGTTGTGTAAAATGTCAGAACACATTTTGTATTTGCATTTGTGGTATCTATTAGCAACATAACAATTTTGTATTATTATTGTACTGTTCTGCGGGTCCCAATTTAAATTAAGTGCATTTAACAATGTACAAACAACTACATTAAAAATCTACAATCGATTTGTGGTCTTTATTGTTTTTTATATTATACGTACTTTTTGAAAAAAAAAAATCTGCCCATACTACTAAACCTGTCCCCAACCTTACCCGTATCCCACATTAATAGCAGCACAAGTGTTTTGCAACAGAAAATTAATTCAGTCAAAACAATGTTCCTATTTGTCTAAATGTAAGTACATAGTTGAAGACCGGTCCGAGTTGAAGATGAGGCCTGCTATGTAAAATAATGTGTGACCTTTCTGTGTGGTGCTGCAATCAGTGTGTGTTTGTGTATATAGCCTATTTGATTTTTTTTATTGATTTTTTTTTTTTATTCCAGTTGATTCAATGCTAATACTTCATACTGTATTCTGAAGGAAACATGGACACTTGCTATTAAGGTTTTCTGTCATTGTACAACTGTTTGCAAGAGCAAATGGCTTGTTTGGCAAACAGAAAAGTCTCTAGTAACAATGTCACCCCGGTTTCAACAGTGGTTATGTGGTGATCTAGCAACAGTGGTTAACTGACCTCTTTAACTACTGTAGAAAATGTTGTAGTTGTGTGCTTTATTAAATGTATTCTGCACCTTTAACCAACAAACTAAACAATGAATAAAAATAGCAAAGTGACTGAAGACTAGTTGAGGACTTTCAGATCTGATGAAGGACCGGCTTCTGGAAGTGTCAACTAGCCCCTCCCATGTGAAGGCCTCCCTCCCATATCCCTTTCCTTTTCTGTAAAAACAGTGTCGTGTTAGCGGCCCCTAAGTTAAGAACTAATAATCATTGCAACGCAAGTGAATCAATCAAAACTTTATTCTAGAGCTGCTATAAAACCAAAACTATCTCTGTAACTTTAATTCCCTATTATCACGGTAAAGCCGCTTTGTAACCTTTGTTAAAAGCGCTATATAAATGAAGATGACTTGACTTGACTTTCAAAGAAATTTGAAAACTGTATGGGGAATGTGATAGATGAGGCCAACAAGTTTATGACATTTGTGGTGTGTTGTGGTCAAGGCTGTTTTGCGGAAATTGGTGCACATGCATCTCAGTTACTGTAAACATAGATATTTTTTTATTTTATTTTACTGTGGTGTCTTATTATTAAAATCACTTAAGTGTGTCAATACGGAAAGCATTTGACGGCTATCAAAAATACCAGTACTGTATTTGTTCATTTTTACTTTTCTATTTCTTTTATATTTTGGTGATTGAGCAGTTTTTATAATTAGCCCAATAACAGTGGTGTGGAATCATGTGAGATAGACAAAGGCAAGTTGATAATGCAAAAATAAAACTGGAATCGCTGGACAAAAAAATGACCACATTTGTAGATTATTTTCTTTTCAATTTAGATTTGAATAAAATTGTCAGTCCCATTTTGAACACTAGAGGTCAGACTGAGAACAGTCCTGAGCTGTGAGGTCTTTCAATTTAAATTAAAATTTGTATCAAATTAGGATTATATGGTTTCACAGACAAGGTTTAAACCTCTGTCCCAGATTAAATGCATTATTGAGCTGTCTTAAAAGAGAACTTCGGTTAATTTTAACATTGAGCTCATTTTTTTGTACATTTGAAGTGCTGTCAGTACAGACAAACGACAAAAATCGGTGTTGGCTACACTATGATATCCTCTTTTTAAAATTCGCACCCTGTTGACTTCAATGGGGCAAGTTCTAAACCTGCTTTTAGCCTCTTAGCATCCTTGATTTGTCATTACTAGTGCACAGCCATGTGAGTGGTGTTATTAAGAGTGATTACGCGGTCAATCTGACTGCAGTAGATGTGAAATATATTGTGAGCTGGCTGTAGGCAAGACCGATTTTTGTCGTTTTTGTCTGTACTGACAGCACTCCAAATGTACAAAAAAATGAGCTCAATGTTAAAATTGACCGGATTTCTCCTTTAACTGAAAACAACTTGCACTGACATATGTTAAAATATGTCCGTGCACTTGTTTAGTCTCAAGATGCACACCAGTAGGCCCTAATGTGTTTTTAAGGCACATTTATAAAAGCTACTTAAATGTCCTAATTAAACTAAGGCCTTATCTTGGTTTAATCTAAGCCCTGTCTGCGATAACCGAACCCTTGTGTATTAAACAGCAAACTAACCTCATCCAATGCTAATCTAGTTCAGCCAAAGGGTCCATTGTGCCTGCCTGTCAGGGTTCTGTCACCTTGATTGGTTGCATTCTTGGTTTAGTCGTGACAGCAGCTTCCTGACACTTGTGTATTGTTTGTATTATTCTTTGTGGGAATGTATGGCTTTGGGTTGTTCTCTGGGCTGTGTGCTCTCATGTCTTATGTTCTTGGTGTTCAGGTCATGGTGTATGGGATCTGACACTTGTTTCGGTTCAGTTTCAGTGTCGAGTCCAGATGTCGACGTACTACTCAGTCTTGGTTCTGTTTGAGCACTCGGCTGATGAAAGTGCTCTTCTACATGTTGTATGTGTTTGTGTGAACCCATGGCTTATGTTTGTTTTCTATGTGCCATTTACGTTCATCACATTACTTTTTTTTTTTTTTTTTTTCTCTGTGTGTCATGTGTCATTCTGTCAGTCTCTAGCATTGGCCCTGCTACCTTTTTACCTGGTCATTGGTTTATTTCCCCCTCCTGGACTCACTCATTATCTTCCTCATTTACTTCCTTATTTATACTTGCCATGCCTTTCCCTGTTTTCCTTGCCTGCCCAGCCAGGTTGCCGTGCTTTGCTCCAGTCCTGTCACTGCCAACCTTGGATCTGTACATCAATAATGATTATTTTAAGACTTGTCTGAAAATGATAAGTAAAGACATGAATTAGTGTTGGAATTCTAGCTTTATAAATTACAACACAAGCTAAAATATAGTTTTATATTTTGAAATATAGTGGCTTCGTATTTGTGCACTGGCGCCTTTTCAGTATGTCTGCGAGCTGAGATGCCTGTGATGCCTGACAATGCTGTCTAAGTAGGCGGCTCAATGAGTATTGAGACGGAGCCATCACGTGCTTGACGTTGGTATACAGTGTCAGTATGGGTGGAGAAAGGACTGTTTGCTGTCCAGTTGAATCAGTGTGTTGAAGAGTGTGTTGTGCAGCTGAGAGCAGAAGGAATCTACACAACATAAAGGTATGTAACAGTCTGACCATCTTTATTAAACTTAAGCCTCATTTTGTTATCTAAAAGGCATTTTATTTTATTTGAGCAGTTTATTAAAAATCAAGGTCTATCCTTACAATTTTTTTATTTTTACTATTTTTACATCTAATTACATTGTTGATCCTTCCTTTTTACAAATGTATACTTCCACAAATGTTCTTTTTGTCTGTAATGTGAACACAGATGGCAGCCCTTCAGTAAGATGTTGGAAACAACTCTAATCGGCAGAGATCACCACATTCACTTTCATCCGACAAGACCAACCTGGACTGTTAAATGCGCTCTCAATACAAAAGGTACAAAAGGTTTTTTTTTTTTTTAATTATAGCTTATAATTTGGTGCTATAGTTATTGAAATACTTCCTTTTCACTAGGCTAAAATGTTTGTGGTCGCCTTGGCAAGATGTCTACAGATCTGTATGTCTTTGGTAATGGTGTCCAGACTACAAGGTATGTGGGAGTAGTCTCATTGTTCTGTGGTGAAAAGTGGTTTATTTGGAATAGTCTCAGTATTGGTGTGTTTCAGGCAGGGTCTCAGCTCCAGCACGTCTGGAGGCCATGGTTGAACAGCCCTTTACTCTGAGCTGTACGCTTGTCAGGGCTAAAGGAGAATCAATTCATCAGATCCGCTGGCTGGATGTGCAGAACCAAACGTTACTCAGTTACCAGCCTGGTCAACAAGACAGCGTGAGCGGTCAACAACATGTGGAGCTAGTGGCCTCTCCACGGGATGCCAGTGCCATCACCATCAAACGTGTCAGCTATAGGGATGAGGGCTGTTACACTTGCATCTTTGATGTTTATCCAAGGGGCTCAAGGGAAGGACAGACCTGCCTTACTGTTACAGGTGAGTCTTGGGTGAGATATTTGGGGAAAATGTATCTACGTAACTTCTATTTGACGTGAGCGTCATTGCAGTGCAATAACACTGAGACTTTAATTGACGATCGGCATTTTGCAGATTACACCAGTTGGTGGCGACAAGTTTGAATGAGTAAATCATTGAATCATTTACACAACCGATTAGTTGAAAAATGCTGATTTATACCGGAATTGATATGAATGTGTCATGGAATCCTTCACTAAAATCCAATTAGTTAAAAAACGCTGATTCATTCAGGAACTGCTGTGAAGTGACTCATTTCCATTCAGTCCAATTCAATTCAAGTTGTATAGAGCTTTTAGCAATACTTTTTGTTTCAAAGCAGTTTCAAGTAATAATATCCATATGGCAGTAATATACAGCTACTGTATGTGGTTTAGATAACGTTATGTACTGAGTTAAGAAACGTTACGCTGAAAAACGTATATGATCAATAAGTTATGACAATGTATTTTTTAAATAGCTTAAACTTATCAAAACTGTTTTTGGTATACAAGATTTAGCTCATTTTTAAAAGTAAGTTTAATGCATTTTAGTCTAAATTATTTAAACATCCAAGTTGATTGTACTTTTTATAGGCGGCTATTGCAACTTCTCGTAATAAATACAGGATACAGTGAAAAATACAGGATAATTTAACAATATAAGGATAATATTTCATAGTTTTATATGTTGATCCAAAGTTGGCATCTTCTTAAGTCTTTAAAGTTTGCTGCATGGATCCAAACTGAAGCTGGCACGAAAACATTGCTGTTCACACTATTTCATCAGGTTTAATTGCACTGTAAAAAAAATATTGTTGGTTTAACTTAAAAAATGAAGTAACTTGGCTGCCTTAAAAATTTAAGTTCATTGAAATAGAAAAATTGAGTTACAATGAGTAAAAATTGAATACAATGAAGGTGATTGATTAAATCATCAGAAACTTAAAATATTATGTTATCTGAACTACATAAATTATTTAAGTTGATTTGACAAAAGAAATAATGTTGTGATTACAAATCACGAAAATATTTTTTTACAGTGTGTAGGACAAGTTTATGAGAAGCATGATGTGAAGAGTCAAGATTTAGGCAGAGAAAACTTTTCAGAGATTATTCTAGGAGTTCAGGAGACAAATGGGAAAAAGCTTTAGCTCCTTTAGTAGACTTAAATATACCATGTATGTACCATCAAAACCCCAGAGTTTTGTGACCTTTCAAAGCGCAGTGTATTATAGTGTGATAGAACACCAGTTTATGCAGCAACAATTTTTTTATGCTTTGAAACACTGATAATCAACTCATTTATCTCATCAGTTTCTGTTGTTTGACTCATGTAAAATAACATTATGGGAACGGTAAAACAGTATGGTTGTGTTTTTTTGATGTGACGTTGTGGATTCTGGAGGAGAATGTGAATGTAGATGATAAACATCTGCTGGTTCAGGAAGAGATCCAGCTGGTCTCATCATCTCATGGATGCTCAGCATCTGCCAATCATTTCTAGGGAGGATGTGTTGAATACTGTCCTTCCCTCACTCCAATACATCATTGATCATGTGGGGGTTGTATTCTGGATGCTTTTTATATATATATTGACCTGAATCTACCTAAAGTCTACCTCAGTTGTTTAATGCAGTTTGTCAAGGGACATATTAGTATGGATATCTTTAAGAGATTGCATGTATATTGTCATGCCATTGTTATACTATACACTTATTTTGATTGCTTTACAGCAACGGTGATAACAGAGGGCAATAAGACTGCGGTGGGTGGTAAACAAGCCTCTCTGGTCTGTCGGTATGCCCTGCCAGAGAAAGTCAAGCAGGTGTTGTGGAAGAAGATTGTGAATAAAGCAGAATCCCGTGAAGTTGCATTTTTTGCAAAGCAGAGTGACCCTGTAATTGAAGAAGAGTTTGTGGACCGTGCGAGCTTGAACCCTTCCCTGTCTGACACAGAGCTCACTTTATGGCCGGTCCGAGTTGAAGATGAGGCCTGCTACAGCTGTGAGTTCCACACATACCCGGATGGCACAAAGAGTGCCACAAGTTGCCTTACTATTTTTGGTAAGTCCATCAGGATTTTAGTCCACTGTTACAGTGAAATCTTCATTAGTTGGATCATTATACGTTGACAATACGTTTTAAAAGTTTAATTTTAGGTTGGTCTGTCTCAGCGAGCTAACAGCGCTCATCAGTGTCAAGATGGCCATTGAAATCATAGAAGGCAGTGTTTATTGTTCGCAACCAAACAGTTGATGGACCCCATTGACATCAGTATTTTTTTCCCCATACTATAGAAGTCAATGGGGTCTATCAACTGTTTGGTTACCCATATTCTTTTCTGTTCAGCAGAAGAACAAATCTCATTCAGGTTTCGAACAACAGAATTTCCCTTTTTGGGTGACCTATCCCTTTAACAGCTTTAACCAAATACACACAAGCCTAACATAATGATTATACATTTTATGCATTATTCATTTTTTTTAAACTTGACATAATACAGTTATTCTGTTGAGAGTGGATTTTTCAACAGTGATAATTGATTTTTTGACTCTGAACTGAGTGAAACACAAATCCAGCTCAGTGTTTATAGCTGGTTGGGCTGTTGCACAGAGTGGTAGCGAGAGCAGGACAAGGCTTAACACGAAAGCACTGGAGCAAATGATGACAACAGACAGAGAGAGAGAGAGATATGAAAGAAACTCATTGTAGGAGGGTGAGACTGTGACATATTTGATTTATTCAGACTGTGTCAGTGAATGACTGTGTCACTGTTCCACTAACACAGTGCTTTTCTCTATGTGCTGCTCTCCCTGATTGAAGTTCACTTATTGCTTTTGCGCTGTTCTGTTGCATTTGTTCAAACTAAAGTATCCAACCACCAATGATTACTTAAAGGGACTGTTTACCCCAAAATTAAAATGATGGCAATATTTACTTATAATCTTGTGTTGTTCCAAACCTGTATGACTTTATATCTTCAGTTCAGTGGAACAAATGTTTTGATTAATGTTTTTGTTCATACAATGACAGTCATTGAGACCAAAAGAGCAAGACTTTCAATGTGTGGAGTAAAAATATATTTTTTGTTTTTCAAATCAAAATTTTCAAAATATATTTTGTGTTCCTCAGCATAAAGAAATTCGTGAGTTCAGAATTACATGAGGGTGAGTAAATGATGACAGAATATATCAACTATTATTTCATTACATTCACTCATTTCTTATTCATACCAATCTTGTATTGTTCTGGTGTCATGGTTTTGTAAGAATGTGAATTTGCTTATCCTCTGCTGGAATGACAAGCATAAACCTCTTTTTTGGGCTATATGCTGTGGATTGAATGGGCATCTTTGTAGCTTTGAAATACTGGTGAAACCATGTGGGCTGTAAACACTCAGAGAAGGCATGCAGATCTGGTTTTGTACAAAGCCAGCTCTTGGTTTTCAAGCCAACACAAATTGTTATCATTCAGAGTCAATGTATGATTGCGGTTGCATCCGATAACTGATAAATGCAGCATTCATAGGACGCATTCCAAGATTTGAAAGGCATGAAGACACATCCGAATGCAATGTTAGTTTCACTTCCGGTTTTCTGAGATACCTTCTTCTGATAGATTTTTGAAGGCAGCATAGATGTATCCTTCGCTGCCTTTGATATCCCACAATCCTGTGCTTTCCATTCTTTGACAGATGAGCTAGAAAAATTATGATGGCATCGAAACTTGCGGATGGTAGTCAGTTTTTTTGTGTAAATGTACAGTTTTGATCAATGGTTTCCACTTATGTAATTTCTGCCAAGGAGAGATGATACGTCTCATTGCTATTGGCCTAACTGTCACGGGCTATTAAAGAAATACTTCAGTCGCATTGTCAAAAGTTAAAAGAACAAAAAGGTCAGTCAACTACACTGTAACAACGTAACGTAACTATTATTAGCTATTTCCGCTTCACTCTTGGCTTATTTAACAGCAGCAAAACTGGACATGATAGTCACAGATTTTGTCATGCTTCTTTGAGTAAGAGAACCGATGGGGATGTTCTTTTAATTGTTTGTCAAGCAATGTATGTCTAGTGACCAACTCAACGACTGTTGCCAACAGGGATTGTGTAGAGTGCCCTCTGGTGGACAAACTATACAACTCCAACACTCACGACATGTTCAAGCGTGTTTCGTCCGTTTTTATTTTATTTTAGCAATATTCATTTATCGGCGATTATAACTGCCGATACCAATAGTTTGGAAAATGCCTAGTATCAGCCGATAATATCGGCTTGCCGATATATCGGTCTGGCTCAAGTATTGAGGGGGTCCAGGGGGGTCTGATAACCAGTCAGTCCGTATCTGGTGTGACCACCATTTGCCTCACGCAGTGCAACACATCTCCTGGAGTTGATCAGGTTGTTGATTGTGGCCTGTGGAAATGGAAATGGTCCACTCCTCTTCAATGGCTGGGCCAAGTTGCTAGATATTGGCAGGACCTGGAACATGCTGACGAACAGCAGTCAGTTTGAGACCCCGATGAGGACGACAAACATGCAGATGAGCTTCCCTGAAACGGTTTCTGATAGTTTGTGCAGAAATTCTTTGGTTATGCAAACCAATTGTTGCAGCAGCTGTCTGTGTGGCTGGTCTCAGACGATCTTGGAGGTGAAGATGCTGGATGTGGAGGTCCTGGGCTGGTGTGGTTACACGTGGTCTGTGGTTGTGAGGTTGGTTGGATGTATTGCCTGTTGATGTAATTCTCTGAAACGCCTTTGGAGACGGCTTATGGAAGATAAATGAACATTAAATTCCAGGGCAACAGCTCTGCTGTTATATTATGGTATGGTTCCGTTCTGGGTGACTCCCTGCGCAGCATGCAACCTAGCATAAATCAGAGCAGGGAGAGCAGCAATAATCCCCCTTAGGGTAAACAGAACAGAACCAACATGAATGTATTGCAGACATCATTAATTCAAGATTTTAAAATACAACATAATTCGAGAATTTCTTCGGATTCAAGGGGAATCAAAATGGCAAATGCTGACTAGGCGAGAGGAGGATCAGGGGATGGAGGAGGGTTATTAGCTCAAGAGAAACATGATAGCTGCTGAAAATCCTGAAGGAGCTTATATATGTACAGTGAAAGGCGTTGTATATATAGGTAGACATGGGTCAGCTGATGCGACCTTGACTAATGTCTTGATCTTTAGCAATTTAAATTTCACCTTGCACTCTTTCAACCTTCAAACTGAAGCATGTGGAATTCATGTTCTGTGTCTGTGAACAGTATCATGCCTTTTATTTGGTTGACCATCTCAATATTTTTTTTTTCAAGCACAGTTAGATTGCTGAGTCAAACAGCCTAAAATTTAGATTCTAAAACATTTGTCATCCAAAGCAACTGTGGACAATTTAGTAATTTTCTAATGTTAATGTTGTTTAAGTACTGTATGCTGTAACTGTTCACTCTGCAGGTCCAAGTCATCTATGTATGTAGCTGAATCCTGACTAAATTATTTTTAAAAAATGTTTTACACCTCCAGACTAAACTCTCTGGGAGTAAGACACAAAATAAGACACAAAACCCATATCTTGTATGATATATATTTACAGTCCTACCAAAACCTCAAGTAAGCTACAAGACCGCATCTCCTGGTGTGATTGAGGCTAACTGCACTGCAGTCGCCAGGCCACAGGCTGAAATAGTATGGAACGTGGAGGATAATGACCGGATCATTGGTCAACCTCTGACGACCGCTATCCAGCAGAGTGACGGGACGACTCTGGTCATCAGTACATTGACCATCCAGGCTGGACTCCTGAAGGATATCTCTGTCAAATGTCTTGTTCATCATAAAGGACTGGAGAATGCCATTGCTGTTTCCATGAACACTAAAAGTGAGTGTGAACTATTTTATTATGCACTTTGCTTACAATGCTTTATATTGAATACACTTTTTTTTTCTTGGTTCATTGTACTTTGAAAATCTTGTCTGGGACTAATTCCAAGGGCAAAAATTAGTTCTCTGTTAAGGCTCCCAGAATCAATATTAGATCGCAGGAGGGAACTTGCACTTTGCAGATTGGTCGCAATTGTCTGGCACCCCACAAGAACTGAGGCACTAAGTGGTGGATCCAAACAGAAGAACCCTCTAGAGATTTGTGGCAAGCGGAAATGGCAGCCACCTACACTTTTAAGGTAGCTAGAGCCAGCCCTGTTGTGAGATGCTCTTGACTAACAGGGCAGTTAACTGGATCCACATCAAGTTTCTCACACCAAGATACAAACAGTTGCCATTTCAGGGCATTTAACTTCCTTGTGGAAAGAGTTCTAGAGTTTATGCTTGTTTCAGTTACCTCAGCATTGTCTCTTGCACTTTAGATAGAAGATTTCTCTGGACTGGAATCCCTCAGGAGAGACACTAAGTACGAAAACCAAACTCGGATTGGCCAGAACAGGGCTACAAGTGGGAGGTGAACTCAGTCCTGGCGAAACCTGCTAGAACTCACGAGGGCAGAGCTATTGGGGGGGGGGGAAGCGTGTAGGCGGAACCTCGGTCATGCCTGTACCATGCTGCTTAGCCCCAACAAAGCTGGAGGTGTGAGGGATAATCAGAGGGAACAGTGCTCAGGGAGAATCTGCTCTGTTGTTTATCTGCCATATGGATTCCACTGCTTTTGGATGGAGTTGCCATTCCCCAGGCCTTTGTTTTTGTTTTACACCACAGAAGCCTCTCCAAGGCAACCATGTTGAGCGACCAAAAACCCAGGTCTGTGCTTAGTGGCACAGAGGGCCAGTTCTGTGGCCCAGTGGAAATATTCCTCCAAAGTTAAAACTCTGCAATCCACATGACCAACATCTTTTCCACCGCCTCAGAAAACATGCAACATGAATAATGGGGCTCTATTTGTCTAAACTTCAAATATTCAAAGAGAGCGAACATTTTATTTTGATTTAAATTAATCCACTACCTTAATATAAAACTCTCTTATAAGAAAAGGACAAAAGTTAACTTTTTAAGGGATTTTATAAAAATCAACCCCTGTGACATAGAAGTGCCTGAAGTTAAAGAAACATTCAATAATAATAATAAAAAAAAATTGAATTCCCCAGGTGAAATAGTAATTGAGAACAAATGCTCTAAAATAGTCTTTGGCTTTCTCTGCTTCTCTCAACAGTTGGGACAGCACTTACTATCCTGATCTCTGTGACTACAGTAGCGTTCCTTCTGGTCCTCTGCCTTTGTTTCTGTTTGTGGAAGTGTGTCCTGCGTAAGGATGGTGAGTGAGTATTCATATAGCTCTCTTAAAGACCTATGAGAACAACTCAGAACATGCAGCTCAGCAAAATGTTTAGTCAAAATCATACAAAGTAATATACAAAGACAAATTTCTGTCATCATCAGGCCAGCCTATTTAAGTTTAAAGATCCCACCATGCAAATGTCGATATCCTGTTCTCCTGTGCTCTCAGATGGCTGTCAGTTATCTGCAAAGATGTATAGTAACGAGGTAGAACTACTTAAGTACTGTACTTAAGTACTACTAAAATGCTGTATCTGTACTCTACTAGAGTATTTTTTTTTCATCATACTTCTACTTTTACTTCAGTAGATATTTTCGATGAATTTAATACTTTTACTTTGATATTTTTTTAATGTTCTGCTAGTTACTCGTTATAATTATAAAAAAAATTACGAATCATTCGTTGCAAGTTGGCTTTCATGCTGCCTAAGGCCCCGTCCACACTACTGCGTTTTCGTTTAAAAACGGAGACCTTTTGCTACGTTTGCACCTCCCGTCCACACTAAAACGGGGAAAACGAAGACCTAAAACGGAGAAGTTTAGAAACGCTGCAGCTGCGTTTTGCGTTTTGAATCTCCGGAGGGCGTTGTAGTGTGGACGAGACAAAACGGAGGAGTTTACAAACGATGACGCAGAGGCTCACGCTCGACTCTATGATTGGGTGTCATCAGTCATGACGTATCTTTCCCTGATTCGCCAACCACTGTTTACACCGGCGCGCGCATGCCCAGTGTTGGTGAATGGTCACGTAATTCACGTTTTCAGTGGTTTTAGTGTGGACGGAGATAAATTCTAATACGCAGGTAAAACGCTAGTGTGGACGGAGATCGTTTTCGTTTTAATTCTCCGTTTTTAAACGAAAACGCAGTAGTGTGGACGGGGCCTAATTCACACAATTTTATAGGGTAAAACTGTTTAACAAATGCAGGGGTTGTCCTGCAATGACACTTTCTTCGCGGCCGCCAAAGCAAATTTGTATCCCGCCAAAGTGGCTTATTTGATTGCTAGTTCAAACTTTTGACTGCTTTCTTTAATAATTACATGACACAATACTTGTACTTATACTTTTAGTTCTTAAGTAGTGATTTTTTAAATAAACTACTTGCAATACTTAAGTACAAAAAATGTTGAATACTTTAGTACTTCTACTTAAGTGTGGTGCTTAAAGAGCACTTCAACTTCTACTCAAGTCACTTTTTTGATAGAGCACTTGTACTTTTACTCAAGTCCAGGTTTCTAGTACTTTATACATCTCTGGTTATCTGACACATTGATGCCAGTTTTGCTCCTGCTCTAAGTTGTGTCATTGAAAATAGTTCATCACAATTAAAAGCAAATATTGTCTTTAATTTTCCTGTTTCCAAGTGGATGTCCAGTTTTGAAAGGACAATAATTAACAACCTTGAGAATAGCTTCATGGAAATAAAGAAATGAGTGCTTCACTTTGTGGCCTTTTGCTCATGCAGGGCAGTGAACATAACTCATTAAAATGATGCGTAGCAGCTTGTTTATGTGTGGCCATGATGTTTACTTACCTAAGGCTTACTAGATTATTCATGCCAGTACACGCTGTAGCGGCACTATTTTTTAAATGCAAACACACCCAACATAGTGATTCTGAAGTCAAAGTACTGCTTCTGCTTCTGACAAGAGAGTTCACTACTGTCTGGTTTTTGAAACACACATGGGTCACTGACAAATTAAGTTGTCCAGAGAGGATGAAAAGGACAAACCTTGTATGCTCGTCATTTTCCACGGGTTCTCGAACTGACTGCAGTTCGTCGACCCGCATTCGATGGCACTTTGGAAAGGTGTTTTCTTCACTGTACAGGGCAGATGGCAGACAGTGTGTATGGCGTTGCGTGGATGAGCGGTTTGTTGATGTCAATGTTGTGGATTGAGTGGCCCATGGTGGCGGTGGGGTTATGGTATGGGCAGGTGTAAAAAGGTGCAAAAGGGTGGTCACACCAGATACTGACTGATTTTCGGACTCCCCCAATACAGTAAAACTGCACATTTTAGAGTGACCTTTCATTGTGGCCATCCTAAGACATAATATAATGAGTAATAATCATGTAATAATCATGCTGTTTAATCAGAATCTTTATATGCCACAACTGTGAGGTGGATGGATTATCTTGGCAAAGGAGATGTGCTCGCTAAAACAGATTTAGACAATATTAGGCCTTTTGTGTAACCAAAAGTCTTGCATTTATAATTTTGTTCAGTGTATATATACTGTATATAGATACATTTACACTTAAAGTAATAGATAACATTTAATTAATGTGAAAACATTGACCAATATAGCTATGGCTCATGATTTTTATGTGTTTGTGATGTGAGCAGAGACTGAAGAGCATCAATTACGGAGAAGAGGCCGAGAAGACAGAGAAACAGACAGTTGAATGTAGGTGTCTTCAGGAAGTGCAAAGCCTCTTCCTGTGACCTATTTCTGCTTCCATGTGATTGCCTGGTCTGCCCTTTTAACACAAATCCTTTAGACCTGATCTATTGAAATGAGAAATGAATTAAGTTTTTATTTATTGTGTGTGAGTATTTAACCTAGCAATTGTTTTACATAGTAACATTTATTATTTAAAAATTTTATTTTTCATATTTCACATTATTCTCATGGCTTCTCATTGTCAGATCAAGTTCTAATTTTAAAACATTTCCCATATTCTGACATTCATATAATTCTGGAATTTAAAACATAGTCAAGTTACAACTGTGAGGGTATTGGGTTTAACATGTATATTTTAACAATTTATGATGTTACAGTCACTTCTGTGCTCGATCATGTTTCCACAGAGTGAATAATTTTGACCGCGGCAGGCGGACATGCTGAGACACCTGTGAATACGTAAATCTCCTGTTATCATGTTCTGTGCTTTTCCAGCCAGTGACACATCTCTACATGAGAAAAGATGCTACGTTCTGAACAATTTGCAAATCCATCACTAATATGAAGTTTTCCGTAGAAGGCATTTCATCTCAACACAGAAGGAAATTTAATTAAGTTAGTATTTGTCTGTTTTAATACTGTTATTTTACCCACCCAGAAGGCATCCCGGACAGTAACATAGTGTCGGCCCAGATCCGGCCCACATCTGGTACACTGGGATTACACATGGGCTGGATCTGGGCAGACACTATGTTACTGTCTGAAGCCCCAAAAGTAAAAGTACGATAAAAACTTCTTATATTCTCTGAAAAAAAATATAAATAAATAACTATCCACTCAAAAAAGTATAAGAAAACTAGGGTAGAATAAGGTTAGGGTGTGGCTGGAAGCCAAGCTCCACCCATTAGTTCTGCAGTAAGCAGCTTTTGTACCGTGAATTACACTCTCTTTTGAAAAAAGCATTGTTATATCTTTTTTTTCAGTTTTCTAAAACTTGTATCATGATCAAATACATAGTTTCTTATTATTTTGCTTTTGCTTTGTCCCTTCATTTTTAAGGTGGACATTCACACTGCCGATGAAAGGATGTAAGTCCAGTGAGGTAGACTAAACACTACACAGTTGTTTTTCACTCTAGTCTTTGGATACTATTAGGAAATCGATAAATATTTTATATCTCATTCTTTTTTTGTTGTCGTTGTTGTCATTAAATGATTAAGTAGACTGAACTAGAGATTTAGAGACTAACTAGAGCTATACAATTGAAGTTCTTTGGTCTCTGAGTCCTGAGCAATGGTGGGAAAACTAAACCATGCTGGAGATGCACTCAGATAACACTGAGAGGTCATGACAGCTTCTCCAAGCGTTTACTGTACCAGCGGAAATGCATTATCTGCAGTCTGCTGTGGAATTAAATGGCTGACGAAAATTGCATTTTTGCTGGCTTCCTTTCTGGAAAATCATGTTGCTTTAAACATGAGCATATGTGCAAGCCAGTGCAATAACAACTGATAAAAGGTGAACGAGTTTTAATTCTGTTCCATGTTTGTTGAATAATTTTGCCATATTCTTAAAAATGTGAGATTATAGGCCGCACCTTTAATTAGAATGAAAGAATTCACTCAGAATTTTGTCTATTCAACAAATTATGGAATAAAGTATTTTATTTTCCTTTTGTGATATATGGATGTTGTATTTATTGTGTAAATGAATCTTGAAATAAATTTCTGTATTAAGTTGACATACAGTCATCATCATTTGAAGTTAATCAAAAAAGTTCATCAAAGTTGTCCTAAGACAAGAACGGTTATTGTTCAAAATGCATGTTTAACTTTGATGAAAGGTTTTTATCCACTTCAAATGTTGACTACTGTATTTCAAAGAGTGTCTATTTCATCACATCAGCACCTTTTTAATGTGATGTAGTTTTGGTGGTCAAGACATGAAAGAGAAAAATAATGTCCAGTAGATACAGATTCTAAATTTGTATTTATATTCAGTTTTCCACATTCTTGGGACACATGGGATGGTTAAAAGCTGATTGATAGTAAAACATTTTTCTTTACTGTTGTGTAAATCATATGGTGATTAAAAAACACACAAAATATGCCTGGAGTTTTTTTTTTCATTACGTTAGCTGGTAAAGTATTTTTCTATCAATGCCAAAAATCATAAAAAAAGAAATGTAAGTCGCATGGAAAAATGGTGAATGCATAAATGCAAATGGGACGTCAGTTCAATGAATCGGCATAATTTTGGTTCCTCGCAGTGGGTCATAAATTTTCACATTCCAGGAAAAATGTGTTTTCATTACTTGTGATCTTTCCATTAAACTCTTTTTACACTGAAGAGTTCCACATTTATAGATCTAAACCTGCCCAGTGCCCCTTGTGTTCTCATGTCAGGCTGCTGATACCATTGGTACTCCATCTGGTGATCGTGACAATATGGCTGTTGTTACTGTAGCCTATTTGTAACATTTATTAATTAATCTTATGAGGATTCAGCTTAACTTAATGTTATCTAATCCGAGAGTAGTTTTTGAGCCATTTGGTTAAAAAAAAAACACAGAAAATATTAGCTATAGCCTTGAAATCATTAAGACAGGATGTGCCAATGCAGCTACAATACACAATAGCCTACATTCACACAGAACAAGTCACTTCACTATGTTCCTTTATGCTTAAAGTTACCCAGAAACATACGCAAAAAAACAAACAAAACTGTATTTATTTAAGATACAGTACACATATTTGTATTCCAGTCATGTGTAGCCTGCAGATCATTTTTTGGTAGACTAGAGTAACATTTATAGGTAGCCTATGGCTCCATCTGTTGGTTAATATCAATAGTTCATAACATTCACATTAAGCCTACATTTATTCATATGGCAGACACTTTTAAGCGACTTACATTGCATTTCAAGGTACCTACATAATTTACATTCTTATCATTTCTCAGTTCTCACTTTCCCTATGTAGCCTATGTTTGAGTTACAGGAAAAAAAAAAAGTTGACGACCATTGACATCATATATGTGATCAAGCTATAGGCTATTGTATATCATTCTTGGGTTTGTTTGAACCCTGTGGAACTTAAGCTTATAAAACAATATTATGAAATGCTTATAAAATATTTTTTCTAAGAAAACCATATTTTATCTGATCCTTAACTTCTCATTAATGAGTAAATGTCCTTTTTTTTTAAAGCTTTGAATGTTACCATGTTTTTACCATGAATTTTATTAATTTTTATTTATTTATTTTTTTTTATTATTTTTTTATTTTTTTTTAGAAATCTTTAAAATAACTGATTTTTATGAACTACATAAAGCTTTTTGTCAATGGGAACATGACAAAAATACATCATGCATATACAACCTGAATATGCTTCTCAGAGATGCATATTCAAAAGTGTAGACAGTTCAGGTGGTAAAGACGGATGTGTGGTGGTCAGTGTTTCTTCTGTGTACTGCACACAGACAAATTCATCACACTTCAGAAGAGCTGCATACTGTAAACACAACAGGACAATAAGTTAAGAATTTAAAAAATGGGCTCATTAACAGTTTTTGAGTTAGATAATTTTAATCAGAATCACAGAAGGAATTTTCTAAATTGCAATTTTAAGAAAGAAAAAAAAGACAACAAAAACAGTGGTCTGTTATATACGTTCGCATCTTGTAAGCCACTTTTGTTTAGTACTATTTAAAAAACTTTGGATGTCTGAAGCATATATGAGAAACATTGACAATGTTCATGTGTGTGATAACATGTTTATAAGTAAAACTCTTTGCACTAATATAATTATTTTGTATATTTATTTTATAATTAGTTAGTGATAAGTTCAGTTAGAGTTCATATATGTTCTGGAAATAAATTGTATTTACATCTACATAACTGTGGACATTTTAACATCACTGAAAAAAAATGAAAAAAAAAAAAAAAAACCAAGATTTTTTTTTTTTTTTTTGCAAGTTTTTGCTGGAAAACAGTGAAAACTGTAACCTCATTGATTATTGAGTTAATTAATTTATATGAATATAAAGGCTTTCAATTTAGTTCTGAATGACATACAAGCTAGTGGTTTAAGAATTAAAAAAGGTATTACCGGTATGTGTGTTCATAACATTAATCAGTAATTTGTAAAAACGTACCTGAACCTTCGCTTTCTCTGTTTTCTTTCTTCTCAAAGCTGACAGTGATCAGTAAAGGGACAAAGTGAGGATCATGGCAAAACCTAAATATCTTAAAATTATGAAAATGACAAAATGACTTACTTTTACATCCTTTAATACACAGGATAAAGATGAGCATTAAAATGAGAATCGGAATCACTACAGCCATACAAATAAAGAGATACGGCAGCCACCATGGGTTTGAATTAAATCTGATATCAGTATAGTTTGTCTCACTGTTGTCTCCTCCTAAGAAAAGAAAAGAAAAGGGGAAGCAAAGATTACTAAAGAAAAGGGGAAGCAAAGATTACTAAAGAAAAGGGGAAGCAAAGATTACTAAAGAAAAGGGGAAGCAAAGATTACTAAAGAAAAGGGGAAGCAAAGATTACTCTAAGCTGACACAGCATCCAAATCACATCCATTAGGTCCATTCAGGATAACTGAGACTTCCTCGTCACCTCAATAGCAAAAACTGTCGCATATTGAAAATACTTATTATTTCCTGAACTGTATCATAGTGTTTTTTTGTTTTGTTTGATCAACTTTTCGAGAAGAACTTGCACATTTCTCTGTGATTAGATTGAAACTGCTCTTACTTTCAGTGCATGACATCTCATCTCCCAGGCTGTCATCTGTGGAAGAAACTAAAGAAAAAATTCAAACCACTTTGAAGTTTCATAAGTTGGTTTTGACGACCTTACATAATCTTATTTGTTAACATAACAAAGTTGATAAAATAGTTACCTGAGACAGAAATATTGATATAATGGCTAACTGTTGACGAGTTTGATAACAGCAATTCACATCTGTAGTGGCCGTCATGATTCTTTGATATATTTGTGAAAGTTAAATATGAAGTCAACAGATCAGATGCAGAATAGATCTGTGATGATGACATCTGACCTCCAGACACTGGAATCCATCCTTTCAAGGTTTCTTTAGTCCATGTAATATTGTTTGTCTGACCACGACAATTCTTCAGATTGCAGGAGATCTTGAAAGGCTTGTTTGTACAGACTTTATGAACAGCCCCTCGCGGAACTCTAAAGACAGGGCATTGGGAGGCAAGACCTAAAACATGAAACATTGCAGCAAATGTAGAGAGACAATGACAAAAGAACACAGATATAAATTAGTTTCAGTATAAACTTTACAGCTGTGATGCTTGTTGGCTCCACTTTTACTAAAAGTAAATTCAATAGAACGTTCATGAGCCCATGCAGAAGTCAGTGAAAATCACAGCATCAATAGTAGATTATAACTCACCTTGTGTGTCAGTGTTCATATGGAGGATGAAAACTACAAACACGTCCAGGAACAAAGCTTTCTTCCTCAGGTATAGACAATCCATCTTAAACACAAGCCGCAGGACAAAAATGGTCTCTAAACTATAAATGAATCCAGTCTAATCTTTACAGTCATCAAACCACCAGCTAGACACTTATTTCTGTCTCTGGTCTGTTTATCTTAATAGCCCACTTGTGGTTTCAATTTCCTATACGCAACATGCACTCATCCTGTTCTGGGCTTTTGAACAGTGAGCTTCACATGATTTTGGACATGAGAACATTTCTTGCTCCTTTTTCTTTTCTTTTTTTTTGCATTCAGCTGTTACACTCAAAGAAAACACAAATACAAATCCATATACTTGCCATGTGTGACTCCAACAGTCTCAGATACTGAGGAGGCACACAACTGAGGAGGTAACAACACTTTAAATGTATTTCTTTATTTACATTTATATATACACATTAATTTAGCAGACAGGTATACAGAAAATAGCCTTGTAAGCAATCGAGACTGGGTTAATCCATCAGGATGCAATAAGTACATTTATACAGAGTTTACACCAGTTTACATCAAGAACAATAAAAGTATCAAAACAATTTAGTCCACACCACAACTAATGATAATGACACAGGCGAAATATATCATTTGAATCCCTTTTTTGATTTTTATTCCAGCAGATTAATGATAAAACGAAAATCCATCCTGCTTTAAAGAGCTCAATCATTAAAGAAACAGACTTCATAATAAACAGAACGTTTTTGTCCTGGTATGCTAATGTAGCTGTTGAGTAGAGGTTCAGGCCAAATTTGCCCATTGTCCTCTTCCCATCGTAGCCTCCTATTCATCCCCATACAGATTGGCGTCATCACTGTCTCCTCTCCACCACTAAGCTGGTGTGTGGTGAGTGGTGTATGGCTGGGAAAAGCGCTTTATAAATGTAATGGATTATTGTTATTATTATTGTTACCTTTATATAGTTATCGTTCTTGGTGCAAACGGACCTAAAGTCACTTCATTATGTTTCCTTATGACTTATATTATAAAGTCAACCAGTCATGCATGAACAGTTTTGTTTAACCACCACGTTGCAAACAGCTTCAAACTATTACTCTTATAGGCTTTGGAGCGATGGCTCCATCGAATGGGCTCATTTGCATAAACACAGCAACGTTTTTCATTTATTAATGTGCATTAAGACTTGAGATCATAATCAATGTGCATTAGGAACTGATCAACTTGACAGCCAAGCTTTATGACAGTTTTATTCAGCTTTGCTTTTTGGATTTCAAGTAGAGCAATCTACATTTGTATGTAACTGCATTTAAAGTTATGACTTAAAGAACAACATTTCATGACTAACTTATTGTCTAAGCAGTTTGTGCAACCTGCAACTGGTTTTATTTTACAAAAGGGCCTAAATCATTTTGTAAGTGGGACAGTCCCATCAGGTAAACTTGGTCACTTTTTAAAACTGTTCTGATGGATTATAATCATAAACCATCCAAAATTAAATAAATGACTAATAAAAATGAACATTTTTAAACAATGTAACACATACAATATTAAAATCTATATCTTTTAAATCACAAGTTCACAGTACAACTGGAAATCACTAAAATACTCTCAACAACAGAGATGTATGTAACAAACTGTTATTGTATTAACTTTTTCATTTTAGTGCATACAATGTAGACTGACAAGTATTGAAGACAGGATATGGATGTGTTGCATCAGACACCTATGATTACTGGTGTGAGTTTCACTCAGAAACCACATTGAACATATTTCCGTGATGTAACGAGGAAAGAAACAACATGTGATGACTTGCACTGTGTGGCGTGAGAAGAACATACATTTCCTGCTTCCTGTTAGTAAAACAGTACAGCTTCTCAAACCTGACTCTGCATGAACTATTTCATTTTGGAGACTTGAACATGCTGCTTAACTTGGTCTGGTTATGTATAACCCACAGAGGTGACATCAGGAGACTCGGATTGCTGCATACTCGGAAAAGTCCTCTCTTGTCGGACGGGGTGCAGTAGATGATGGTGTTGGTGTGAGGTGATGCAGAGATGCATATACAACCTGGCTTGAACTGTTAACTCTCCTGTTGGACAAACTATCATCACCCCCACAATCTGACAGATGTGAAGTAGATTGTGCAGGTGGTGATGTTAAACTGCATGTGTTGCTGTCACGAGAGTGCTGATGTCTTTCTTCTGAGTACTGGACACCGACAAATTTATTATTCTTCTGGACTCTGGGGCTCGGTGACGACAAGACTGATGCTGTATACTGCAAAAATAACAGGACAATCATTAACAAAGTGAATTTGATTGTGCAAAATTATTAAATAAAGTGGTAACACTTTACAATACGGGTGCTCTAGATAGATAGTAGTAACCCATGAATGAATGATTACTTTATCAGCAACTGGGGTGCCCATTCTCACCCCCAAGGCGTCACTTAACTGACGCCTTGGGAAGCATTTGGACATGCTTCAATATCTGACGCTTTAGGCGCCCTTTAGCGTCAGTTATGACGCCCTAGGATCGCGTGTACCCTACCCCCACCCCACACCTAAACCTAACCGCGTCCTCTAACAGACGCTTTCCTTTAGCGTCAGTTAGATGACGCCGTAGGATCGCGTCTTGTAAGTGACGCTAAAGGGCGCCTAAAACGTCAAATATTGAAGCATGGTCAAAGGTGACGCCTTGGGGTGAGAATGTGTTGAACGATACCCTGATGTCATGATTCGATACATATCACGACACTGAACTCACAATACGATATTATTGTGATACCAAGACATATGGGAGAAGGATAACAAGGTGATATGGTGCTGGTAACCCAATGCACAGGACAATGGTGACACCAGAATAAAAATAGTCATGATTTTGAAGCTGAAAACAGAATAATTTTAGATGAATATGCTTGCACTCTGTCACTGACTAAATATATTCAAAATAATATAGGCCACTTTTTACTTGCATTATGCACTTTTTATTTGCAGTTTTTACTTGCATTTTACTTGTTTTTTGGCATTATCAGGACCCACAAATATTCCCTCATTGCATTATTTTACATTATATTCAACGATATATAGTAGTTTAATGTAGTACTGGCACTAAACTCTGTAATTTTCAACTATACACAATACATATTGCTGTATTTTTGTATTGCGATATATGTTACCAGCAACTAATAATGAGTCTATATGATTAATATGAATATATTAAGTAATATGTGACCCTGGACCACAAAACCTGTCAAATGGGCTGTTAAAGTTTTTAAAGTTGTCCATTTATGTTCGCGATTGTGTCACATTCACTCACAAAAATAAATCTTTTATATATTTACAGTAGAAAATTTACAAAATATTTTCATGGAACATGATCTTTACTTAATATCATAATGAATTTTTGGCATACAAGAAAAATCGATAATTTTGACCCATACAATATATTGTTGGCGGTAACACTTTAGAATACGGTTCCTTCGTTAATGAATAACTACACAAGAACTAATGACTAACACAATATTAACAATCTAGTAACTATTATTAACTAACAAGAAACTCTGATTAATGAACTAGTAAGTAATAGCGCACAGACTAAAGTGGTAGTTCACTATTAAGTAATCAATAACTACTATTTTTTTAATACTTCCCAGAGAACTACTGAAAAAGTTTATTAACAATCTAGTAACTACTATTAACTAAAATAAATTCTTCTTAACGAATTAGTAAGTAATAGCTCACAGATGAAAGTGTTACTAGATACTTCTGTGGGAATTACTAATTATTTGGATTCGTATTATAAAGTGAAGATCATTGGAACTAACCAGTAATTACTCAAGTGCTACTAAAGACATTTTCTAAAAGTTACTAAAGTTCACCAAAAATCTCAAACGGTTGCACAAATCATGACTTGATCATGTAGTAACACTTGAGTAATTACTAGTTAGTTCCAATAATCTTCACTTTAATACGGATCCAAATAATTAGTAATTCTCACAGAAGTATCTAGTAACACTTTCATCTGTGAGCTATTACTTACTAATTATTTGGATCCGTATTATAAAGTGAAGATCATTGGAACTAACTAGTAATTACTCAAGTGTTACATGATCTAGTCATGATTTGTGCAAACGTTTGAGATTTTTGGTGAACTTTAGTATACTTTTAGAAAATGTCTTTAGTAGCACTTGAGTAATTAGTTAGTTCCAATGATCTTCACTTTATAATACGAATCCAAATAATTAGTAACTCCCACAGAAGTATCTAGTAACACTTTCATCTGTGAGCTATTACTTACTAATTCGTTAATAAGAATTTATTTTAGTTAATAATAGTTACTAGATTGTTAATAAACTTTTTCAGTAGTTCTCTGGGAAGTATTAAAAAAATAGTAGTTACTGATTACTTAATAGTGAACTACCACTTTAGTCTGTGCGCTATTACTTACTAGTTCGTTAATCAGAGTTTCTTGTTAGTTAATAATAGTTACTAGATTGTTAATATTGTGTTACTCATTAGTTCTTGTGTAGTTATTCATTAACGAAGGAACCGTATTCTAAAGTGTTACCCATGCCTTAGTTGTTTAGTTTAAGGTTCCCATCTTTGCTCTTGATTGACTTTACTTTAAAGGTTTAATTAGAATATTTTGAGAAATTGTGTGCTGTTGGACCAATATGTGTATCAACAGAAAAAAAAATAAGTAAATTTAGTAAATAAAATTACATTTAGATGAATTAAAAATGTCTATATGTTGGCATTTTAAACATTGATTGCTAATGTCATGTGTGATAACATGTTTATGGGTAATACATACAAATCATTACTAGGCCTATACTTAATTTTATTAAACTTTACTTAACTTCACATACCAGTTTATGAATTTATTTTTATTTAATTCTGTAATTCTACATTCAGAAAAAATCAAAATTAAGGTACAATTCTGCATCTTTTGCGATTCCAGTCAAAAACTGAACTCTATTCTGAATGGCATGCTGACTGAAAGTTTAAGAATTAAAAAGGTACAGTATTTTCACAACATTATTCATAGTAATCTATAAAAACTTACCTGAACATGCGCTTTCTGTGTTTTCCTTCTTCTCAAAGCTGACAGTAAGTAAAGGGACAAAGTGAAGATAATGCTGAAACTTAAATATCTCAAAAAACAAAAAGTTTAAAATTACTTACTTGTACATCCATTAATACACAGGATAAAGATGAGCATTAATATGAGAATTGGAATCACTACACCCATACAGATAAAGAGATACGGCAGCCACCATGGGTTCGAATTAAAGCTGGTATCAGTGTTTGTCTCACTGTTGTCTCCTTCTAAAAAAAGGAGAAGCAAAGATTACTCTAAGGTGACACAGCATCCAAATCACATCCATATGGTTCATTCAGGATGACTGGGACTTCCCCCGTCATCTCAATAGGTTGAAAATACTAATTATTTCTTGAACTGTGTCATAGTATTTTTTGTTCAGATTGATCAACTTTTCGAGAAGATGCACATTACTATGTGATTAGATTGAAACTGCTCTTACTTTCAGGGCAAGACATCTCATCTCCCAGGCTGTCATTTGTGGAAGAAACTAAAGAAACATTTTTAATGAATTTGTAGTTTCATATAATTACCACAGTTGATTTTGAAGGCCGTACATAATCTTATTTGTTATTAAGTTGATAAAATAGTTACCTGAGACAGAAATATTGATATAATGGCTAACTGTTGATGAGTTTGATAACCGCAGTTCACATCTGTAGAGGCCATCATGATTCTTTGATATATTTATGAAAGTTAAATATGAAGTCAACAGATCAGATGCAGAATAGATCTGTGATGATGACATTTGACCTCCAGACACTGGAATCCATCCTTTCAAGGTTTCTTTAGTCCATGTAATATTGTTTGTCTGACCACGACAATTCTTCAGATTGCAGGAGATCTTGAAAGGCTTGTTTGTACAGACTTTATGAACAGCCCCTCGCGGAACTCTAAAGACAGGACATTGGGAGGCATGACCTAAAACATGAAACATTTCAGCATTATCCTCATTGTATGAAGACAATAACAACAGTATAATGTAACAGCATAAAAAAAAAATTACATTTTTTTAAAAGAAAGACTTTGCTATGGAAATGAACATGAACATTGCACTGTAATGCTTTGTTGTATGCAGCAGTCCTAATAGCAAACAGACTATAATGTCCAGCAGTAAAACATTTGCTTTTAAGCATTTGTTTAACTTAAATATTACATTGATTTATGTTATCAAGAATTTGAAACTAAGGTGTGGTTTTAAACATATATTGTTGCTTGTTATGTCACCTAAAATATTCATTAGTACTGTGAAATATATTTGAATTTATTGAATTTGACTCCACTTTATTGAAATAACTCCACTTATTGGAAAAATTCCTTCTGCAATCCCACATTTGATTACACTTTTAAAGTTCTAATTCTATAGAGCATTCTCACCTTAAACTCACCTTGTGTGTTAGTGTTCACATGGAGGATGAAAACTACAAACACGTCCAGGAGCAAAGCTTTCTTCCTCAGGTATAGACAATCCATCTGAAACACAAGCCAGGTGTGACAAAATTAAAAAAATGGTTTTAAAATATAAATTAATGTTGTCTAATCCTCACAGTCACCATCTAAATCACAACTACACTTATTTCTGTCACTTTGTCATTGTGCTCTTCATTCTTTTACTTGTGGTTTCCATTTCCTTTATACCTACGCATTATGCACTCATCCTGCTCCGTGTGCTTTTGCACATGAGTGAGCTTAACATGATTTTGGACAGGGAAGTGCACTTTTGCTTTGTAGTTTTGTTGTTTAGCATACTTGATGTACAGTTATTACACCTTACGAGCACAAATACCCTTGGCTGTTTATACAATGTAAGTGAAAATATATTTTTTTTTTGTTAAAATATCAAGATATATTATAAATACTTATAAAGGTTCTTGCCTGGATAAACTTAAACCTTGTTTCTGTCTAAACTTATTATACAAAGCTCATTCAACCATGAGCATGTGCCTGGAAGAACACCTGTTCTTCCAGGCACATGCTCATGGTTAAATGAGCTTTGTGTGTGCACGTGTGTGAATGAGCACGTGTGAATGAGCAGTGTGTGTGTGTGTGTGTGTGTGTGTGTGTGTGTGTGTGTGTGTGTGTGTGTGTGTGTGCACCCAGGTAAACCCTACATTATGGGGACAAAATGTCCACTCAAAATGGCAATATGCAAAATCCTTGTCTGTGTGGGGAAATGTTTTGGCCCCCATGCATGAGTAAAATAGCTTATAAATCAGATTATATTATATTATATACTATATATATTATATATAAATATATATTTAGTAAATATATATATATTTATAAATATATATATATTCAGTTAGATGACGCCGTAGGATCGCGTCATGTAAGTGACGCTAAAGGGCGCCTAAAACGTCAAATATTGAAGCATGGTCAAAGGTGACGCCTTGGGGTGAGAATGCGTTGCTGATATACAAGCTTGACTAACGTGACCTGCCAGAACAGCCCATTCTCACCCCCAAGGCGTCACTTAACTGACGCCTTGGGAAGCATTTGACCATGCTTCAATATCTGACGCTTTAGGCGCCCTTTAGCGTCAGTAAGATGACGCCCTAGGATCGCGTGTACCCTACCCCCACCCCACACCTAAACCTAACCGCGTCCTCTAACAGACGCTTTCCTTTAGCGTCAGTTAGATGACGCCGTAGGATCGCGTCATGTAAGTGACGCTAAAGGGCGCCTAAAACGTCAAATATTGAAGCATGGTCAAAGGTGACGCCTTGGGGTGAGAATGCGTTGGCCAGAACTGACGGTATGCTTGATTTACTTTTACTTCATATATAACTGACTTAGTTCCTAATTGCTTTTACATCAAATTGAATTCAAATAGCATAGCCTATTGATATTAATATATGCCATTCCTATAAAATACATATTTTACCATCACTATTATGCCAAATAAAATACACTATCTTAGTATAGCCCCACATGGCAACCTTGGATGGTTCAAAGCCCATTCAGAACTCTTAAGTTGTAGCTTTGAAATCTGTGTTCTTTGAATTCAGCCAAGAAGTCAATCTGTGACATGTCTGTCTATCAGTTACATATAGGCAAAAAAAAAAAAAAAAATGTGCAGGCAGTTTGTGCGCAACGGGGCTGTATCTGATTTTACTAAAATTAACAAATTGCAAGTATAATAACATTTTAGATTAAAGGGAAATTCTCCTCAACCATCACCAGAGGGTATACACTGGATGATACAACAAAATCCGTAGTGCACCAGAACACCACACCAGCTTATTGGTGGAGAGGAGAGAGTAATGAAAACAATTAGAAGATGCGGGGATGATTGGGAGACCATGATGTACAAAGGCCAATGGGCAAATTGGAGGTTTAGTGATGTGGTTTCAGTGAATTGGAGGTTTATTGTGTGTACAGAATACACATTTAAAAGAAATCAAAGGTAAACTTTGAGTAGCTACAAGATAAGAGCAGCAAAGGTTTTGAAAGCTGAAACAACAACAGTGCAGTAGTGAGTGCTTCTAAACATATTAGGACACAATATTCTACAAGGGGTTTTATGAAGTCAGCCCCAAATTAAATCCGTGCTGCCATGGAATGCCATGTGTTGCATCACCATTACTCTTTCAGTGCTCAAATGTTCCAACAGCTGCTGCCCATGAAATGTTTCGCTTAATATATGCTGACCTTCTTCATCAGTTGTCAATCCTGTGTCCAGCTCTTTCCACACAGTTCTTGACTCGTATAACTTCAGTATAATAGATCAATTGTTCCAGTCTTTGACACCGTCTTTAGCTGGAGCAAATGTTCTCTCGCTTTCACAAAAAAAGTTTACACCAAAAGCAAAACGTAGCGTCCTTGCTAATTGAATAAATCAGCCATATGTTCAGTTTCTCCCTTAACAAACCTCTGAAAATCTCCCTTTTTCTCTTCTCTCTTTTGGGAAAATAATGGCTTTGGTTTGATGTGGCCCTCCCTGTACCAAAGTGTCTTTCGATCTTGACATTTCCTCACTTCCCTGCTATTCTGTCTGTCCCTCATCAGACGAGCTAGTTACGGCTACGCTTACACTGTCTGCCTCCTCCAGTACATTAGCAACGTCCACATCTTCGGTGTCACTTCCATGGTACTGATGCTTATGCTGCTATCATCTTGAGTTTCAGCGATGGTTTTAAAAAAGGTGTCTATTTGTTCCTCCAGTGCTTTCTCTTTTAAAAGCAGTCTTCTTTTGTACTCATGTCAAGATAATTTGATCAGTTTTGACATTTTTAGATATACACTAAAGAATTTGCATGTAGACTGACTAATGAATTGCCATCGCCACCCTAGGCAGGGCGCGGCCGGACGGGAGTTTTTATTCTTAATCTGAAGTTTATTTAAATTTATAGTAACTAATGATGTGTATGTATTTATTTATTGGATAATAATTCCAAACTAATGTCAAATAAATAAAATTCCCACTCACACTCCCATCCCAGTATCGATCCTAAATACTATAATCAGATAAGTAAGTACTGTACTCAAATCAGTCTCAGCTCCAGTTTTGAGATCTAAGGTGGGCCAAGTGATGCTGCGGAGGTGTTTAACGTTGGCATGAAATCAAATTTGACAAATCTTCTTTATATATGTAATATTGCAATGTTTATTAAATAAAAATTATTTATATGAGCACTTTATTATTATTTTTTATTTAAAATTCATGTACCCTTATAATCTTTAATCAAATACATTACCCTTCCCTCCCCCATCGAAACAACCTCTCTTCTATTTCGGTCATGTGAAATGTGAATCCCAATCAATTCCTGAAGGATGAAATCAAGCCCTGCACTACATTTTTTTTTTTCTAATTTTGGAAGCCGTTTCACTCAGATATACACAACAAGGGAAAAAAATGACAATCTCAACTTCCGTTTCACCCTGACTTTAACTATGCATTTCTTTCAACGTTTTTGATTTTTCAATTTGATTTTTAATATTATTTTTTTCCTGATAAATAGCAATGTTCCATAACACTGACATCGAAGTGTAAATGGGGAGAGTGGGGTAAGATGAGCCAGTGTCGTTGTCCATGCTTTTATCACATCAAGAATAGACTATTGCAATTCTCTTTATGCAGGGATCTGCCAACGCCAACTGCGCCGTCTTCAGCTGGCGCAGCCAGGCTTTTAACTGGCACTAAAAAAGGGATCACATTACCCCAGTACTTCGTGGTCTTCATTGGCTACCAGTTCAATATAGGATTCAATACAAGATTTTATTGATGGTTTTTAAAGCCTTGCATAATATGTCCCCAGACTACATTGTCGACCTCCTAGGAGTGTACAAATCAGGCAGGACATTAAGATCTTTAAATCAACTTTTGCTGACAGTCCCTTACTCCAAAAAGAAGACTAGGGGTGATCGAGCATTCTCAGTTGCAGCCCCCAAGCTATGGAATAATCTCCCCGCTAATATCCGGCAAGCTCAAACAATAGAAATTTTTAAGTCCCATTTAAAAACTTATCTTTTTAACCTAGCCTTTAGTTAGTGTATTGTTACAGTGTGCGTATATAATTTAACCATTTTCAGTTTTATTATTTTAATTCCTTTCTACACTGTACTCACTATATTTTTATGTGGAGTATGTCTAAAGGCCAATTTATACTTCTGCGTCGAGGGTACGCCGTAGTGTACGGCGTTGGCTACGCACGTAGGCGACGCCGTTGTGAGCATTTATACTTCTGCGTTCAGGTATTGGTTGCTCTGCAGTACTGCTCCGAAACGCTAGGAGGCGGCGGAGGGTTTTAATGTTCCACTGTGTTTAGATTCCTCGCGGCTAGGTTACTACAATAGCGACTGAAAGAGAGTGGATCATGTTGGAGTTGGAGCTTATTGGGGTGGAAAAACAGTTAATTTTAGTGAAATTACTAAAACTGAAAGGCAGAAATGAGAGAAGACGTCGGAGGAGATGGTACGTGTGGAAATGCGTGAAGGTACGTGCGGAAATGCGTATGAGGAAATACGATGCTACCAAGCCGACCAATCACCGATCTTGCGGTCCGCGTCGTCGCGACGTGTAGTTACATTTTTGAAGAGGTGCGCGTCAGGCAACGCGGAAGGGTACGCGGTATGGGACGCGTCTGTGCGTATGCTACGCCGTACCTACTGCGCGCACCCTACGCAGAAGTATAAATTGGCCTTAAGAGTGTATGCGGGCTTTATACGATGATTGACAGGTGGTCTTCAGTAACGTATTCCTCACGTCATCAAAGTGCGCTTGTCAAAGATGACTGCAGCTGGAGAATTGAGATGTATAGATTCCGCTGAGATGTATAGATTTCGCGTCTTTTGTAAAAAAAAAAATCGACAGCGCATTCATTTTAATAGACAAACAGAGAACTGCAATCAAGGCATTTGTCGATCGGAAAGATATTTTTGGCGTCCTTCCTACATGATTCGGGAAAAGTGTAACTTATCAGCTGGCTCTGACGGTCGTTAAGAAGATGGGACGTAATGAAAAGCCTGTGGTCGTTGTGGTTTCTCCTTTGGTCACACTCATGGAGAAGTAAGTAAAAGAAGTAACACTCGTTATTTAACTTCTAAAATAAAGTAGGCTACGTTCAGGGTTGCCAGGTCCCAGAAATATTTCAAGCCCAATGACAACTCAAAACCCGCCCAAATGGAATGAAAACCAGCCCAATATATATATATATATATATATATATATATA